TGGGAAAAAATTAGTGGGATGTAAATGGTTGTTCACAGTCAAATACAACTCTACAACTCTGATGGAACACTTGAGAGGTATAAAGCGAGACTGGTAGCAAAGGGGTTTACTCAAACTTATGGTATTGACTACACAGAAACCTTTGCCCCAGTGGCGAAGCTCAATATGGTTAGAGTCCTACTATCAGTTGCTGTGAACTTAGATTGGCCATTACATCAATTAGATGTAAAAAAATGCATTCCTGAATGGGAAGCTTGCAGAGGAGGTTTATATGGATGTTCCTCCTAGTTTTGAAAATGAGTTTGGATCTCAAGTGTGTCTCTTAAAGAAGGCCCTCTATGGCTTAAAGCAATCACCTCGAGCTTGGTTCGAAAGATTTACAAGCTCTGTTAAACAGCAGGGATAGGACAAAGTGATCACACTTTATTCTTTAAACGCAAAGGAAATGAGAAAATTACTGTTTTACTAGTATATGTTGACGATATCATTGTCACAGGTGATGATTTTGAAGAAATTAATGATTTGAAAGGAAGTCTAGCACGGGCATTTGAGATTAAAGACTTGGGGCCACTAAAGTATTTCTTGGGAATGGAAGTGGCGAGATCGAAGAAGGGAATTGTTGTAAGTCAACAAAAATATATTCTGGACTTACTCTCTAATACACACATGACTGGTTGTAAACCAGTTGATACGCCGATAGATCCAAATGAGAAACTCTGTGATATTGGAGGTGATGAAGTTGATGTGGGGAGGTATCAAAGATTGGTTGGGAAGCTGATATATTTATCACACACAAGACCTGATATTGCTTTTGGTGTTAGCCTCATCTCCCAGTTTATGCATTCTCCTAAGCAAGCTCATTTGGATGCAGCATACCGTATTCTCAGATATCTTAAGGGATCTCCAGGAAAGGGATTATTTTTTTAGAAGAGTGCTCAAAGAACTGTTGAAATTTTTACTGATGCAGATTGGGCAGGCTCGACCACAGACAGGCATACTTGTCACGGCGGTAAGTCGAGTCGTGGCGCCAGCCGACTGCCATATCGCCTAGGCAATAAGGCGCCCGCCTAGGCGACAATTAGGCGACATGTCATGTCACATGTAATATTTAAATATACATATATATTAATATAATATAAAATGATATCTTACATGATCCGCATTAAATTAAAAATGTATATGAACCAACATATAACTAATACAGAATTAAATAATATATTGCAGATTAAATTAAATTAATATATATATATACAACAATAAATAACTTATATTATTATATAGAACGGATGTTCAATAGTCAATACAAAGTACAAATTTTCACAAAAGAAAATCAAGGTAAAGTGAACTCCAGTTGTCTCCAGCTATCTCCAGTTATGCTTGTACAAGGAATAAAAGCAAGAATAACAAAAGAGAGTAGCTAAACAGTAAAACTGAGTACAGCGGCTACTTCAGTTTGAATAGTCCGCAAGTCTCAGAAACCTGGAACGGGCGAGAGAACTGGAGACGGGGGTTGGAGTAGTGGCGTTTTTACGACAGCTACCTGAGGCGGCGATCTACGTGAGCGACCTGGCCGACGGGATGAACAGTTGCGGGCCAAGATCTCTGTCAGACCTGGGTCGGGTCGAAAAAAACAAACTCTGGGCGTCGCCACGACGACGTGTAGACGCCTAATCGACGCCAAGTTGCGCCTTGGCAGCTTCAGGCGAGTCGAGCAAGCATGGCGCCACTCCTCCACCGCCAGGATGCCTAGTCGGCGCCTAGGCGACGCCTAGTCGACGCCGTAACAACTATGCAGACAGGAGATCAACAAGTGGATATTGCACATTTGTATGGGGAAATTTAGTGACTTGGCGCAGCAAGAAGCAAACTGTGGTGGCTCGCAGTAGTGCTGAAGCAGAATTTCATGCTATGGCTAACGGGATTTGTGAAGGAATTTGGCTCAAGAGAGTACTAAAGGAACTCCATCTACCTCTAGAATGTCCTATAAAATTGTATTGCGACAACAAGGCTGCCATCAACATTGCAAACAATCCTGTACAACATGATAGGACTAAACACGTGGAAGTTGATAGACACTTCATCAAAGAGAAGATAGAAAATGGTAGTTTATGCATACCATATGTTCCAACTTCACAACAAGTGGCAGACATCCTCACCAAAGGACTATTCAAGCCTAGCTTTGATGGGATTGTGAGCAAGTTGGGTTTAGTTGACATATATACTCCCAACTTGAGGGGGAGTGTAGATTTAGATAGATATTCTGTCAAATAATGTGTAATTATCTTTTATTTTGTTTCCTTATTCTCAGGGATCTAGTTTCCTTATTCTCTCAGATCTAGATTCCATATTCTGTGAGATTTAGTTTCCTTAGAATAGAGTTTCCTTCTGAAGAGGATTCTCCCTGTATATATATAGGGTCTTTGTACATCTATTATAATTCAGTAGAGTGAAGATTCATATTATATAAAACTACACTTTTAAATTTTCTAGCAACGGTGGACATTCAAGAAGTTACTGATGACACTATCCCTACTTGTTATTAGGGGTGGGACTTTGGAACCAAGAACCGGAGAACCGGACCGGACCGAACCGTTATGACCCGGTTCGGTTCGGTTCCAAAATTTATATGTTATTTGTTAATGGTTCGGTTCCTGTTTTTTATTAATGGTTCGGTTCTCGGTTCCTGAAAAAAATAAGTACATAGAACCGTTAAGAAACCGTTATATATAATAATTAAAATTATTTATATTTCTTATTAGTATATATATTTTAATGTATATTTACTTATCTTTTTTATATAACATTCACCATTTTAGTTTAGCTATTAAACTATTTAAAATTGGTTTTCATTTTAATCGGTTCTCTTGGGCTTCTTTAGCGAACATTTTGTTTTTACTAAAATTTATGGTTTCTTATGTATTTTTTTTTGGAAAGAAAAACTTTTATTGAATGAAGGGAAGAGTACAAAATGCGGAAAGAAAGGAGATACAAGAAAAGCGAAATTGAAAGAAAAATGACGGCAAGAACTATGCCCACAGAAGCTTTTGGACTGTGATCTAAATACACAACTCAAAATCTACATGAAAACTCAGAAGAACAAACGGCGTCATAATGCGGTTTGTTATGTATTTTATGTTTCGTTTCAAACTCAACTTTTGAGGTTTGAAATGATTTTCGGCATATTTGTATTGTAATTTCAAATGTTGAATGTCTTTTTAGCACAAATTTAGCTGTGATTTGTAAAAAAAAAAATAAAGACAAGGAACCGTTAAATGACAAGAACCGAACCGTTTAGAATGGTTCGGTTCTTTATCGGTTCCATAAAATAATTTATAAGAACCGAACCGTTAGTAAAATTTCATATTTTCAAACGGTTCCACATATTTTGCCTAGGAACCGAACCGGTCCCAGGCCTACTTGTTATCATAACCACCATCCTTATGCGCTTCCAGCTGCGGCAGCTTTGACTCCCACAAACCGGCACACGTGTGCTTCTCGGGAAGATTTTTCTTCCAAACTTCTCTAGTCCTATTCTGAGTTCCCTATGTGACTTTTAGAATCTTCTAGCAACAACGGACATTAATGAAGTTTCTGATAACACTATCCCTACTTGTTATCCTATAAAAAATATATCTTCAACTGTGGCAAGGAAAGATTCTTTGAAATATCATGTTTCCTAATTATTATAATATCTTGTTTCGCCATGATGGTATGATACCCAACATAATAACAAAATGAAATCACCACATCATCCACCGGAGGTACCCTAGAGCAAAGAAGACATCCTCATATGAAGGGTTTATGTGTACCATTACCACCTAGTGAACCGGTCCAGGACAATGCCACCTTAGTTCATCCTCAAGGAGAGGAGAGTAAATATATAATATCTCCTATCTTCTTAAATATTTTATTTGGTCGTAAAACAATACACAATATCAACAACGAAGTCAACGTTAAATATATCATCGGGGGGGGGGGGGGGGGGGGGGGGGCTCTATAGTAAAGAAGACATCCTCAGTAGAGTGACCAAGTACCATTACCACCTAGTGAACCCAGCCCAGGACACTTCCACCTTAGTTAATGTTCAGGGGGAGGATACTTAGAGCCTTGGAGGGTGAACACCATGTACCATTGCCACCTTCTAACTGGTCCAGGACAATCCTGCCTTGTATACCAATAGCATGCGAAGTTCATACTACAACCAAAGACTTCAAAAAGAAGTCTTGTCATGATGCAAGACCAAGGGCTTTTTATCAACTGGCAATCATATTCTTAATTTACTCAATGAAACGGGAGTGACATTTTGTGAAGGGGGAATACCCAGTCTCCAGTAAAATCTAAGGCGTAACCAAGAATGAGGTAGGCAAAAATCAAAATAAATAACTGATGGAGAGAAATCTATTTGTCAGGCGCTACACTAGAGTAGTGACCATGCATTCAGAGGGACGGGTTCCAACAACGCGATGCCGATTCACACTTTTAAGATATCTCAAAGAAACACCAGGAAAGGACTCAAATTGCAAAGTAATGTTAAGATACTTGTCCTGTGAGGGTATGACTATATTGAGGGTAATTGTCACAACAAACCAATGGTGTATACACATGTCTTACATTCCTACTAGAAACAAAATGACTTTATGAAGTATGATTTGATGCTTAGTCAGCAGGCTTGTCATGAACAGTATTTCAATGCCAGCTTTATGAGAAAAATCAATGCTGTGTATGTCAGTGTATATGAGAGAAACTTACGTGTTAGAATTGTTTAAGATATGGTGTTTTTTCCTAACATTAACATCATATAAATATGCTATGATATCAATCTTCGATAGAAAAACATTGTACTTTGTAGGACCCCATCAATATAATGAAAATTATCAAGGCATTACATCATATTGTTATCATGCCAATTGGAAGTACTAAAAAAGTAAGTCTGATGGTGCGATGAACAAGACTTGTCCAAAACACATTAGTCAAAATGTTAGATAAAAAAGAATAATTACCTTGCATGGCGAGCAAACGAAGTTCTGGATTTGAAGATAGTGCAGCTTCAGTTGGCACATTGTTTCCATCTAGTTAAACAATTTTATTAGAGAAGTAACTAAAAGAAAGGGCTGCAAGAAATATTATATAAAGGTTCCAAATAATTGCATACCCAGCTCAAAAGCCTTTCTCTTTCGTGGCCATACTAGATCACAAAGCTTGAGTAGTTTACATCTCTTTTGAAACAATTCAGCAGTAGAGGGTTGAAATGGATGCCCACCATGATCCCACAGCAAAGGCTTTTGCAAAGGCGCAGACCAGTGTGGGCCTTTATCCATCCTCCACATCTCACTCTACAAAATAATAGAATGTTGGAGAATATGTTAATAAAAAGAAAGAAAACAATGAGATAGCTACAAAAGGAACTACATTTATCAAACAAAAATACCTTCACACTTTTTACTTGTTCCGGGAAAAAGTCCTCCAGCTTTGCCAAGACCTTCATTAAAGAATGCCAGGAAATAAGCATGACATTACCAGTGGACTCAATAGCAGATGAAACATAACTGTTCCAAAACAGAATGTGATGTTCAAGAAGATCATTGTACAAAGGCCAAAGTGCTTCAGTGCTGAGTGGTTTCAAAAACAGATCAGGGGACTTCCCAAAAAATTGAAGAACATTATCTTCCAACTGCTGCAAAGATCTAAAAAAGGGTTCAAGGTCGAGTTTTTGACTGTGATTGTATCCTGCCTCACAGCTCCACTGATGATAGCTTAGCCTCAGTAAGTTAACACTACTAATAGCGGTTTTGAGTTTTTCACAATCAGAATTATTTACATATTGCGGCCCATATGGATCCGTAACTTCCTCTGATAGTAGGCGCATTACATTCAGGTTTCCTGCAACTGAATTTTGAGATGTGATCTTAGTGTGGAACTCGAAGATCAGTTTCCATATAGGGTGCTCTAGTTCCTTTTGCAACACGTCAACAAATCGACGAAAGAAATCACCAGATTCCCGTAGTAGAGAAGCAAGATGGCTGAAATATACAAGGTAAAGCTTGTAATCACTTTCAGTTGCCTGCTCAAACACCCAGTTTGCAGCATATAGAAGCATTTTCTCAACGACAATTGGATTAAAATCATTCCTATAACAATAGTATTTATCTAGATTATCTGAATCTGCAGGACACATAAATGCATGTAAGCTCCTAATATCAAAAAAATAGCATTGGACAGAGCTAGAAGCAGGAAGAGTTTGCTGCAGACTTGAGACAGAACGAAGCTTGTTGCAAGCATACTGAGACCCTAGAAACTCCAAATACATGCAATTTTGTTTCACACTTGACTCCTCGGAATAAAAAATAAAATCCCTCATCTTCAACGGGGTTGGCCATCCACCGGGCCAGCATAACAGGCTATCTTCTGACGAATGAATTTTTTTTAGTTCTGACCCTGATAAAAGAGATTTTCGAGCATTATCAACTATCTGTCTTCCCACGCCTTCACCTAAAGAAGAAACGTATATATGCTCCCAACTTATTTGAAGGCTCCAAGACAATTCATTGCCCTGCATAAGTAGCTCTTGAAACAACCCCGCCCATCGTGAGAGCTCAAGAAGTGTGATTTGCAGGTTATACCGGGCACATTCATTCTTGGCATAGATGTGTGTGCGTGCCATTATATCATGTAATTTACCAACAGGGATACCAGCAAGGACAAGAAATCTCCTTGCATCTTCACGCTCAGTCACTTCAACTGGCTCTGTACATCCTCTATCAAGCAACCAAATAGGTTCCATCATATAAACTTCAATACCTCTATTTCGCATTGCGCGTGATACCTCACCATACGCAGGGTTGACAGTCAGAAACATACGAAACCTCGGATGGGGATGAAGAATGACTGGTTTTCCATCAACAGTACCACATTCATTAATAGTGATAGAGCCAGACAACTCAACCAAGGAGTTGATCCTATCAAGAACCTGCAAAGTAGAATTTTAAGATTTACAATGTGTAACTACTGTGGACAAAAGTTAGGACCAATATTATTAAGTAAACTAACAAGAAACTAATATGGAATAAATTAAAAAATCAGACATACTGTTGGGTTGCACAGATTTGCATTCTTCAGAACTATCCACTCCCCATTTTCTATAGCTTTTATGAGAACTCCAGGTACCCACTCAAATTTTGTTGCGCATCTCCTTTTTAAGTGGTCATTGCATTTATTTATTGTAGTGAGAATGACATCCAGATCTCTCATTGACCATGACAAAGTGTTACGGACCGGCAATGAACATGAAACAAGACCAGACTTAAGACGATCAATGATATTAATTAACAAAGGAAAGGAATCGGCGTATTTTGTTGAAGCCACAACATTGATGGTTGATGTGAAGGCAAACCACAAAACACTAAGATCATCTCTTATCTTGGATGCCTCACTCAATGACTCTAACTCCATGGAGCAATACTCATGCACATAATTCTGAACTTGAGAAATGGCAAGACGATATTTTCTGATGGCATTGTATTGCTCAAAGCTTCCAAGCAGCTCAGATATATCAGTAGCAGATGAAAGGTTTAGCTCATTAATTAAATTGCCAGTAAGCTGTGAAAGAATCCTTATTAAGGAAGTTTTACCAGACGACTGGGGGCCAACCAATATGCATAGCCATTTTTGCTTCACACAATCAGCCACAGCTTCCAGGCTATTGCGCAGTTGCGGTAAAACTTTAACCTCATGATATGATAACTGATGGTGAACTCTCTGGAGAGAGACACTACCCACGGTCAAGCACCGTGAATTGAGTTGCACCCTTGGGTATGGGTTTATAGAAGGCTTCATTTGAAATACTGCATGAAAGAGCTTCATGACTTCTTGTCGATCAGATGGTGTCCGCATTCTTTGCAAATAAACAGTATTCAAAAAGCAATCAGATTTTGCTTTTCCGCATTCACCTGAAGATAGTTTCATACTTAAGAAGGCTTACCTAATGTTAATTATACAACACAGGAAACTGAATAGAAAAATCTGAACACACAAAAAAACCTTGTATTAATTCGCAGGATCGAAGCACATCTCGCAGGTTGAACTCCCAGGGGGAACCTTCATGACCAAATTTGTGTAACAACATTGTGTCTTCATGCAACCTTTTATTAAATAAGACAAGATTTGAAAGTACGGAATTTGGTATTTTAGGATATTCTGAAGTGCAGATGGCAAGATAATCATCTTCAACCAGTTCATCCACATAAACCTGAGGCCCACCGTGAAGCGAAAAATTAATGATACTTGACAGCTGAGTAAAGCCAACAATTCATGTCCCTACATACTAACATGTTAAAGTTAATAATCCCTGCATGCATACCTTGGTGAACCGGTTAAGAAAAGACTTGGGCATGCTTTTCCGTCCTCCACCCTGAGATGATGGGTTTTGACAAGCAAATACTCTGAAGGAGGGTGGGCACTTAAAGGTAAGACCTAACTCTGGGATGAAGACCTCCGCTCGGTGATCCAAAATAGCATTCAGTCCCTGCATTTTATGTAACCATAATTAGCGTCTAGAAATTTTCTGGAAGAAACATATTACAAAATTGATATAACTATATATTTTAAGGATGAAAAGTAGAAGACACGTGCAACTACCTCCAGGACGGATTGTGGGGCAAGATTGAGTTCATCCAGCAGAACCCAAGAACCATTTTTCAGTGCCTGAAATAAATACAGTACAGAAAATTTGTATTTGGATAATCATAGACAAACACCAGCAACCATAAAAACTATTTCAATACCTGTAAAAGGATTCCATCAGACCATGCAAAGTGCATCCCTTCTTCACTTTCCACTGGCAAATCTGACCCCAATAAATCCATTATGTCCGTCTGTGCCAATTGAACCAAATGAAACACAGTAATAACTAATAACCCAAAGAGAAAAGAAAAATCGCAGACGAATAGTTTGGATTATTGACCTGCTCTGATAAGTTTATTCTTACAACAGTGTGGCCAGAAGACTTGCCAAGAGCTACAACTAAACTGGTTTTACCAACACCTGGGCTACCTTCCAGCAAAACTAGAGGAAGGAAAACTCACAAATTAGAGGACATAATTCATTTCATTCTTTTCGTATTTTAATTTGATGAATCTTATATAAGGTGATACACAGAGTATCGAAGCAAATTGATTTTCATCTGAATTTGAGATGCATACCAGGCTTCGGAAGTTGCATAGCACGTAGCACCCGCAAAACATTTCTTCGTGTTGTTGGTGCATGGAAGTCGAACTTTGCATCGCCACTGTGATCATCACCTAAGAGAGAAGCAGGGTGAAAGAAAGTCGGCAAAACTGGTGTAATCATTCGAACACTTAATAATGGAGAACATAATTAAATAAGTATGAGACTACGAGTGCTAAGCTTTATTATAAAAAGGTGCTAGGTGGGGGATATGGGCAGAAGAAGTCGTATAAAAAGCTTTTTTACTACTACTGTTGATGTTGTTATTTTTATTATTAATTATTAATTTCCTAATAGTATAGGTATTATATTGGGTTTAATGCACCAAAGCCCCTTGTGATATAGAAATTCGGCGCATTAGCCCCTTGTGATTTAGAAAATGCATCAAAACCCTGTACATGCAAGTAAATTCGGCACATTATTAATTTCCCTTTTATGAATAAATTTAACAATTTTGAAATCATTTTTCTTAAATTATACAAAAATGTTAACCCTTTTTCATTTATTTGACCATTGAATTTGTTCATAAAAGGGATTCTGTGCATGATTAATAAAAACAGTATAACACAGGGGGTTAGATGCATTTTCTAAATCACAAGGGTCGCCGAATTTCTATATCACAAGGGGCTTTGGTGCATTAAACCTGTATTATATTACTGTCTTATTATTGTTGGTGATAGTTCTATATTAGTGTACGTAGGGCCGTCTTTTAACTTGTTAATTAGGTTATCTAGAACGGACCCAAATATTTTGAGGTTCCAGAATCATGTTGTCCATTAATAGCCATTGAAAAATACTAAAATAAACTAAGGACATATTGGTGATGATACGGTAAACGAAACTCCCAAAAATAACATCGTGTGAACAACTCAACAAGACAACAAGAGAAGGCAAAAGAAGCGTCTAGGGGCCTTTCTTAAGTTTATATTATGAAGCTAAGTTTTTACCTATTACCTTTTAGTTTTCCCTATTAACGATGACCTGTAAGTCTGTAACATCACATCACTAAAACCAAATTCAAAAGAAGTCATACCTCTCTCAATATAGAATGGATGAATACCAAAGAGACTATCACATTGCATTTCATCATTGCATACATCAGGCTCAACAGCAGAGTCAGCCCAACCATAATTCTCCAGAATGGCGAGACTTGTGCTACCAAAACTAGAGTCCATATCCTATAGCAAGATACAGCAAACACAATTTACCAATAAAGTAAGCAAGAAGGTGTGTGCTGAACTGCTGATTTATAAAAGTATAGTACCCCAGTTGAACTTATCCAGTTATTCCCCCCTCCCCACGGCCCCACCCTGTCTCTATGAATCCAGAAGTGTTTTCACTTGTACAAAGTTGTATAACATTCCAAATATTTTTCTCTTCCCGCATAAAAATAACAAAAATTGGTAGGCTAAGAGTTGTGGATCTCTTACTATTAGAAAATGAAGAAGAATTTGGGAAGAAATGAATCAATCTTATTATTCATGTACAGATTACAAGTATTTATAGTACTTGAGCTTATAACAGAATTCCAACTAACTATATCAGCTATAACAGATGCTAACAACTAATACAAGAAGAAGTATATAGTTCGTGTACTACTCCTAACATTCCCCCCTCAAAATTAGTTGATTGATTTGGAAAATCAATCACACTAAGTTTTGTTTTGAAATCAAGAAACATTGAGGCAGATAGTGGCTTTGTGAGAGCATCTGCAATTTGTTGTTCAGCTGGAATGTGAAGCACTGTGAGTTGCTTGGATTGAACCTTTTCCCTGACAAAAAAGAGGTCAATCTCCATGTGTTTGATCCGCGTGTGTAGAACAGGATTATGTGCTAGCTGTACTGTACTGAGATTGTCACAATACACTCTTGGAGTAGTGAATGGTATTTGAAGTTCCTTGAGCAAATACTGAATCCATAGAAGCTCAGATGAGGTGTCTGCTAAGCTCCTATACTCAGCTTCTGCTGATGATCTGGCCACTTTTGCTTGTTTCTTTGACCACCAGGAAATGACATTTGGACCAAGGAATATGCAGGAACCAGATGTAGACTTTCTGTCAACAGGATCTGAAGCCGAGTCAGCATCACAGAATGCTGAAATAGGCATGGGCATGTTTTTTAAAGGAAGAGGTTTGATAATGAGTCCATGTGTAATAGTACCAGATAGGTATCTAAGAATATGCTTAACAGCTTTCCAGTGATCTTGAAGAGGATTGGACATAAATTGACATACTTTGTTCACAGCATAACTCAGTTCTGGCCTGGAAAGTGTAGCATATTGTAGAGCACCAACTATAGATCTGTATTTAGAGGGATCTGGTAAGATATCACTTCCTGTATTGGTGAGTTTGCAGTTACTCACCATGGGTGTTTTGACTCCCTTTGAGTCAAGCATGCCAATCTTGTGTAGTAAATCCCTAATGTATTTTGTTTGAGAGAGATGAAGGCTGCCATTGCTTAACTTTTTCACTTCAATACCTAGGAAAAAATCAATTTCTCCCAGATGCTTGAGTGAGAAAGAATGAAGTTTATTGATGAGGTTCTGCACAGCTATGGAGTCATTTCTGATGACTAAGATGTCATCTACATAGATCAGAATGTAGATTTGTATGTCAGGAGTCAGAAAAAGGAGTAGAGAAGGATCGCATGTACTTTGTTTGAATCTTGCAGCATAGAGAACAGATGTGAGTTTATGAAACCAAGCCCTTGGTGCCTGTTTGAGGCCATAAAGGGATTTGTGAAGCTTGCAAACAAGGGAAGGATCTTCAGATTGAAACCCAGGTGGTTGAACCATGTAGACTTCTTCATCAATATGTCCATTAAGGAAAGCATTGTTAATGTCAAGTTGCTGAATAGGCCAATTATTAGACACAGCTAGGGTAAGGAGAATCCTTATTGTTATTGGTTTAACAACTGGTGAGAAAGTCTCTGTAAAATCAAAGCCAAACCTTTGGTGGAAACCCTTTGCCACCAATCTGGCTTTGTATTTATTGAGTGAGCCATCAGAATTCTCTTTTACCCTGAAAACCCACTTGCAGCCAATAGCACTTTTGTCAGGTGGAAGTGGAACTAATGACCAGGTTTTATTTGCCATTAAGGCATTGTACTCAGACTGCATTGCACTGAACCATTGGGGAGATGAAAGAGCCTGTTTGACTGACTTAGGCTCAACATGGGCAAGAAGCAAAGTTGGATTTAGTCTAGGTTTCACAATTCCTGATTTGGCTCTAGTTTGCATGGGATGATTATTAACAAAGTGAGGGGAAGGAGACCCAGAGGAAGAAGAGGAGTCAGAAAGGGAGTTAGATGACTGATGTGAGGTAGCAGGTTGTGTTTGATTGGAATGAGTGGAGTGAGAATTGTTTGAAGAGTGGGACTGACTTGAAGAATTATAAGAGCTATTTGAGTGGGATTGAGGCTGACTTGAGGAGTTATGAGAGCTATTTAAGTGGGAGTGAGAGTTATTAGATTGGGAATGATTAGGTAAAGGTGGAGATGAGACAGGAGTGTGTAGAGGAGATAATGGTAGGATAGATAATGAGGCAGAAGTTGATGGTTGTGGGTTTGGACATGTAGAAACTGTAGGTGGAAATAATGTGGAATATGGAAATTTGGATTCATTGAATGTGACATCTCTGGAGATGTAAACTTTGCCAGATTTGGAGAGGCACTTGTAGCCTTTGTGCTGCGAGGAATACCCTATAAAAATGCACTCTTCAGAGTGAAAATCCATTTTGTGCTTGTTATATGGTCTGATGAAAGGATAGCAGGCACAACCAAAGACCCTGAGAAAGTTATAATCTGGTATTGACCCATACAGTTTGAGATAAGGAATGGAATTTGAGATGGACTTTGATGGGGTTCTATTTATGAGATGAACTGAAGTTGCAAAGGCAGTGTCCCAAAACTGGATTGGTAGGGAAGAATGAGCTAGTAATGATAGGCCTTTTTCCACAATAGTTCTATGTTTTCTTTCCACAACACCATTTTGGTGATGTGTGTGAGGACAAATGATTCTGTGTGTAATTCCTTTTTCATTGAGAAAGTTAGTGAATGACCTAAACTCTCCTCCCCAGTCAGACTGGATGGATTTAATGGATACAGAAAACTGGTTTAGAACAAACTGATAGAAGTTGTGAAAGGCAGTTATAGCATCAGATTTCTTTTTCAAGAAATAGATCCAAGTGTATCTGGTGAAAGCATCTATAAATGCTATGTAATAAGAGTATCCATCAAAGGATATTACTGGAGCAGGGCCCCAGAGATCTGTGAATATGAGTTCAAATGGCTTATGAAATATTGTATTGGATGGAAATGAGGGTAATCTGTGTGCCTTTCCAAGACAACAAGCAGTACAAAACTGAACAACATTTTTATTATTTGAAGAGACATTACAATATTGGAGAACAGATCTAAGTGCCTCATAGTGAGGATGTCCAAGTCTTAAATGCCACAGATTACAAGAAACTGATGGGTTACAAACAAAAGACTTATTACAATCTGGAGACTTATTATATGTAGATATAAAGGAAAGGGGATACAAAGCTTTATTGCTAGAAACTACTGAAGCAGATTGATTAACCCCAGCATTGGATTTGGAACCAAGAGGAAGAGATGGAAACTGGTACAGACCATCTTCACCAAGGATTCCATGAAGTAAAATCTGTTTAGAAACCTGGGATTTGACATAACACTCATGAGGATGAAACTCAAAGAACACATTATTATCCCTAGCAAACTGACGAACACTTAACAGATTTTTGGTTATAGAAGGAACATGAAGAATATTTTGTAAACGAAGCATGTGTGATGATTGATAAGGAAAAGGAAAAGATGAAAAACCTATAGACTGTATGTCCAGACCTTGTCCATTACCCATGAAGAGTTTGTCAGAAGTTGCAAGTGGCTCACTATGCTGAAAGTTCATAGGATCTGCTGTAACATGGTGCGTTGCACCTGAATCAGGAAACCATTGTTGGCTTGATGGAACAGGGCCAAGAACAGAAGTATTGACAGTAGCATAGTTGGCCATTGGTGCAGCATTGGATGGATGATTATTCCAACTGGAATTACCAGAAAAAGGATTAGATGACTGAGTGTTCCAAGGCTGATTGGGGTTAGGTTGAGATGGATAAGGTGGATAATTGTTTGGTTTAGGATGATTAGGGAACTGATGTGGCTGATAAGGGGTTTGTGAGTAAGAATTGTGGTAGTGTGGAGGTCCAGAAATAGCATTGGGAAAATTAGGGCTATGATTTGCATTGGTGTAGGCAGGATTATAGCGGTGATAACAAATTAGGGCATGATGCCCCGGTTTTCCACAGACTTGACAAATTGTAGAATTGCGTCCACCAGATCGACCTCCTCTGCCCCTGTTAAAACCCCCGCGACCTCGTCCTCGATAAGGATTCACATTATTAGGGTTGTTGTACTGAGCAATATTAGCAGAAGAGTTTTCAACAGATGTAGAAGCTTCAGAGTTAGAATTTTGAGATGAGACTTCTGCTTGAGCAACATTGGCTGAGAACACATTGCTCTGTGTTGAATCACGGAGTTTCTTTATACGTATTTCTTTGGCAAGGAGCAAGGATTCAAGTTCAGATAGAGTGACCGGTTCCAGAAGACTTCGTGAAGTAATAGAGGATACCAGCGATTCGTACTCTTCTGGGAGACCTTCAAGGATAACATTGATATGGTCTTTACTGGATATTGGTTCACCAACCAGAACGAGATTATTAACAATCGTTTGAATGCGAAGTAAATACTCCGAGATAGTGCGCTCTCCCTTTCCCGTGTTGTAGAGTTCAGATTTGAGCTGCCTAGCTCTTGCAACAACATTAGCTTGAAAGTATTTGCGTAATGTACTCCAGAGTTCATGCGATCGCTGACAGTGGATTACACGAGCATGAAGAGATTCGGACAAGGAGAAGAGCAGCCATGAAAATAACATTTGGTCCTGCTGATCCCAGACGATGTACGCATCGTTCACAGTTCTCGTTGCTTCATTTTCACCGAGGATATGATCAGGAATTTTTGGATTCTCGATGAAATTGAGCAGTTTGTGGGCACGAATCACAGATTCGATGTGATGCTTCCATATGAGATAGTTATTTGAATCCAACTTGATTGGAAGAGGATGAGTGAAAGTTACGGGGAAGGTAGATGAAGCAGACGAGATCGAGATTGAATCTGGCATGGTAGATCGAGCTATAGCTCTGATACCATATTAGAAAATGAAGAAGAATTTGGGAAGAAATGAATCAATCTTATTATTCATGTACAGATTACAAGTATTTATAGTACTTGAGCTTATAACAGAATTCCAACTAACTATATCAGCTATAACAGATGCTAACAACTAATACAAGAAGAAGTATATAGTTCGTGTACTACTCCTAACACTTACCAAGTTTTATATAAATTTATGTGTGTATATATATGGTCAACTGAGAGAAGTGCTTATTGTGAGAAATGAGGATAAATCTGGTGCATTGGAATTGAGATCTAATGGCTCTAAAAGTGCCAAAATCCACATTTCTCGTAAACATTCTTCTCACTAGAAGTGCACCCTATACAAATAGAAATAAAGATATAGTATAGAATAACACCTTCAACAACTCTAGAAGATATAAGAAACACTCTTCCCTCAATCTGCAGGCCTCATTCTTGGAGATATTAGTGCCTGGAAAACATAGGTAATAAAGATGATGCAAATAAAGAAGAGCTCTAATTAACGGGAAGATGTTGAAAAGGGATAAAAAAAGATGCACTGTGTTTCCATTTTATAAACGTGCTTCACAGCCTGCTACTAAATATTGCCATTTTTAGAGGATTATTTATGACAAGGAAAGGCCATGCTACTGAAGACTGGGCTCATTTGGATGAATAAAACAATATTTTCCCTAGGCAGAGACGCAAAACAGAAACACCATTTCAGCAAGAGGCATCATAGTGATACTACCACATGGCTGATGCGGCAAAAGAGTTTTTACGAAAAACAATTTAATGACTAACCTAAACTCAGACCATCAAGCAAAATAAGGAAAGCCCCATGTAGGAAAGCAGATTCTGGTAGTAAAATTGCTCCAGTTGCATTAATAAAAGATGCCCAAGATATGAAATCTCTCACTGTAAGCATTCTTCCTGTTTGCAAATTATTGAACCACTGCAGGGAAGAAATGGGAATCATGGTAACATCGTTATTTATCAAACTACCCCATTTGTCCTACTCTATGCCTGCTGCCTAATTGTCAAACCAGCAAGAGATTACTGCATACCTCCCAAAATTTTAACATGAGATCCATGAAGCTGCCAAGCTGTGGATTTGAAATTCTGAAAAAGGGTCACATGTCATGCAAGTCTTGTAAATAAAACTTCTTGGGAAAACAATGATTGAGACACAAACCTCCTAAGAGCAATAAGTTTAAGCTCATCCAAGCCACTAACAGGAGGTACCCATATTTCAGTAAACCTATTGCGAAGGGCAGGAGATAGTTCTTTCTTGCCAAAATCGCCACCAGGATTCATCGTTGCTAAAAGGCAAAAATCAGAATGGGCAGTTATCTTCTCAAGATCAGATCCTCCTTTCTCAGCTAAAGCCTGTAGACACAATAAACAAAAGACAACGCTGAACTTCTATAACAATACAAACTGGGAAAGGCCAAAAAAGAGTACTCACAAACTTGGCCAAAATCCAGCATATTACTAAAGTGAGTACAACAGGAAATTTGATCAAGAAATTGAACGTCATAGGGAGCTACGGTATCATTACTATATCATAAAATTTGTAGTACAGGAAAAGATAAAAAACATATGCTGGATGTAACCATTTAGAAATATTACTAGCAAGAATGTGAAAGGATATAATCAAGGAAGAAACAACCAACCAGCTTCCTTTCTGGCTCCAACACACTATTTAATCGCTCAAGCACACTATCATCAGCCAAAGAAATTTCATCTACCAGAAATAGATCCCCGTTCTTCATTGCTTCAACAAGAGGTCCGTCTTTCCACCTAAAGATTGTCTCCCACTGATGATACAGATCAACTAATCGAAAATTCAAATTGTTGAGACAATCAAGCTCTTCCACTGTCACATCAGGATGGGAGACCAACCCAAGTCTATAACTACCAATAATCCTAGACACTTTATCTAGAATCGTAGTAGCTTGATTAATATCGGAAGAAATTTTCTGCAGGAGATGAGAAAGTGAATTATGACATGAAGAAAGGGAAAGGATATTCTATTACAAACAGCATAAAATTGGAAATATACTGAATCCCCAGGAAAGTGGACAAAAGACTTGGAAACAATCAATTTCATGCATATATCTTTGAAGTCATTGGCAATCCTTGATCTTTCTCTTACTGGATAGAAACCCTGTTAGAGAACAAAAAACCACCCCATGAAAATCAATATGCATATCTTTTTAACAGACCATGTAGGACCAAATATTATTTAGCTGAAGTGTGCAAAAAACATGAACAAGAAAACAGCAGACCCCAAGAAAATCAGAAGTCTCTGTAAACTGATGGCAGTTCAATATGTGTAATTTGGATCCCAAGATGATGCTGAGAAATTGGCAAATTGTTGTCTTCCCTCCACCAGTTTCACCAACAAGGAGGACAGGTTCACGCATCTTATAACAACGTTCCACAAGAAAGTACAATCTCTCCATACTTTTAGTCAGAACAATGCTGCATAGAGGAGAAAAAGTAAAAAAATAAGAAACAGTTAACCAAATTACAATGCTTCATATATTCTAGTTCAGTTTAGGTGCATACTCCCCAAAATTTTCTAACACTGTTGGATTCTTGCCAACCTCAAAGTTCCCAACACTTCCTCCTTCCTGACAACAAAACAATAATCAGCTCTAACAAAATCGAATTTCTATTTTCTGGCCTGTAATGCCCATCTCCCGAACTTTAAATTGTGATCTAAAAACAATTGAATAGATCAAAAAGTACCACAATAATAATGGCTACAGAAACACCTCTAATAGAACTTAATTAAAGCATCTAACAGTCATAAGGCGAATGTTATAAAAATGAATGGGTAAGACTTAAGAGAAGTCGGGAGACTCCGCAGCACCAGAAAAATTGTGAAGAGATATGAAAACGATCTATTTTGTAATAACTAAAAGAAATAGAGTCACTACCAGAACATAGGAAATATAGAAGAGCCATTAATATCATATCTCCTAAACTTCATAATGGAGCAACCAAAAAAACAGCATCTAAGCCTTAGTCCCAAAAGAGTTTGGGGTTGGCTAACATGAACCGACATATGAAATCGAAACTATAAAAGATAAGATACAGTTTTAAAATGATAAAAAGATTAAAAAAATATATTAGATAAAGATATAGAAAAGATAAAGATAACCAAAAGGTAAAGATAAAAAGATAAGATAAAAAGGATAAAGAACATAAGATTTACAAAAAAGATGAATTGAGATCAATCCTCCACACGAATATTCTCTCCCCACTTTGCTCTTTCCAAAGTCATACTCTCATCCAGCCCAAGAAATACCATATCACTCCTGACTCCTCTAATCCACGTATGGTTGGGTCTTCCACATCCTCAGTGAAACGCCTCTTCTCCCCATGTCTCAACTCGTCTCACATGATCTTCTACGCACATGGTTAAAAAATTGTAATCGAGACTCACATATGATCTTGAATAGGTGTTACTCCCACCTTTTTTATTGGGGATAAGGGTCAATTTGGTCCTCGAAGTTGCAAAAAAAGAGTCAAATAAGTCCTTATATAGAAGATTCTGTCCGGAAGTGCCATTTGAGGTGGCTCCCGGTGGAATTTTTTGATGAAATTTTTTTAGCATCTTATTCATTAAGTCTAGTTTACTCATATCAAATTTCAGATACAAATTCAATCGGGAAGACATTCAAATGAATTCTTGAAGATAATTGTGCCGTTAAAAGCGCAATTATCTTCAAGAATTCATTTGAATGTCTTCCCGATTGAATGTTTAGCTGAAATTTGGTATGAGTAAACTAGACTTAATGAATAAGATGCTCAAAAAAAATTATCAAAAAATTCCATCGGGAGCCACCTCAAATGGCACATCCGGACATAATCTTCTATATAAGGACTTATTTGACACCTTTTTTGCAACTTCGAGTACCAAACTGACCCTTTACTCTTTTTTATTGTCTCATTTCTCAAGCGGATTGGCATTGATATCATAGAACGATTCATGTTAGCCGACCCCAAAATCTTTTGAGATTAAGGCTTGGATATTGTTGTTGTATTCCTCAAGCGGTCAAAATATATATACAATCATAGCATAGGGACGCTTTATTTCTCAAAATATATAAAATCACTAAAAAAATATCTAAAATCAAGGAAAAGAAATATACGATTTTAGGATATGCAGATATCAACTCGGGCTAAGAAAAGAGGGAATGATAGCCTCTACTTTATTTAGTAAGCAATAACAAATAAAGGGAAAAAGTTATCTTACCTGCTTGTACATGAAATCCTCGGAAAGTTTGACTTTGAACTTCTTCTCCAAAATTCCGCGAACAATACATCTCTCATTCTCATCTCTTAGCCTCTCAGCCAGCAAATAGTAACCATCACGAGCCAAGTCCTCATACGATATCCCAAATTCCTTGAAGCGGTTGGCCCAGCGAAACAGGTCACGTGGAGTTATGAATCCATGTTTCCCTGCAAACACTTTACTGCTCTGCCTATGTAGCTGCAGTTCCTTCATAACATCAACCATCTCTTTAGCATATCTTGCAGGAATTTTACACTTCTTCTCCAAAATAGTTGTCAATTCATCGTCTGGAATTTCATCAACATGGATTTCCACAAAGCGGTTGCGAAATGCTCGGGACAGAATCTTACGACCACCGTATATATTTGGTGGATTTTGGGTGGCAAAAAGCATAAAATCATCATGTACACGAAGAGTTTCACGCAATTCAGGTACATAAAGCTCTCTGAAATCATCCAGCAACCTATTTAGTGCTTCAAGAACATCGGAAGGAGCAAGGTTAAGTTCATCCAAAACTACCCAGTGTCCATTCCGCACAGCCCTAACAAGTGCACCTTCATGGAAAACAAGCTTCCCACTAGCATCAGTAATGTAGGAACCCAAATACTCCTGAAGATCAGTATGTTCATGATTGTTAATCCGCACGAATTCATGACCTGTTAATGCAGCAAGATATTGAACAAGACTAGTTTTTCCACTAGAAGTTGGTCCCTGAAGAAGAACAGGATATCTTTTGATAAATATGGCACGCGCCAAGTTCTGCAAATGCTTCCCAACAGTCTTAGTTATGACATAGCTGTCCAATAAACCACCAGCTGTAATATTTTGAGCTTGTCTTTCATCCAAGTAACGTTCATATGGGATTTGCTTAGGTATTTTACCTCCCAACAGATATGAACAAATCAATTGATTCATTAACTTAGCACTAGGTTCATCCAACAATATCAGAAAGAACATACAAAAACCATCAAAAAGGGCTTCCTGGCGTTCAAACTTCGTTTTTGCCTTTTGGATATAATCAAGGGCACGTCTAAGAGATCTCAGACTATACTGGGGTTTTTGGTTAGCCCCATCTTGCAGCCTTTCATCAGCTTCATTTTTGGCTGCTTTATAAAACTGCACTATTTTGCTAACCATTTCTTTATTTGACTGGTCTTCCTTTATAAAATGATTAACAAACAAAGTTAGGTCATCATCATGCACCACATCATCAACAAAATATTCTGAGAATCTGCTCCTCAGTGAGAAGGACAAGTCTCTTTTTCCAGCATCTGTTGCAGGATTCATGCACGCAAATATGCGAAAGCTTGAACTTCTTTCTACATAGGTTATATCACCCTTCTCTGCCAAACAAAGCGACCCGTTCTCTTCTTCAAGTACACCAATAACCCGCTGCAGGGTCTCTGGAGGAGCTAGGTTCACCTCATCAAGTAATATCCAGTCTCCATTCTTTAGAGCAGTAACAAAAGCTCCTTCTACAAATGAAAATATAACTCCAGCAGAATCATTAATTTGAGCACGAGCCTTTTCAAGTTTAATGGTAAAATTTTCCCACTCCTTCTTAACTTTCCTATCCAAGGGCCTCTTTCGTTTCGCACCGGACTTAGATTGTTCTTTTTCAACAGTTTCAACACCTTTCTGAAAACCAATCAGCAACTTTTTCCAATTTCTATCTTCCACAAAACAACTTAAACGCTTAAGGAACCCTTCATTGTCCTGAGGCACAAATGTGTGTGTATATATATGTGTGTGTGTTAGTATTAATAATAAGAACAGCGATCCAGAGGTAAGGGGTAAAACCGTAAAAAATATACCTTCACTGAGAACGTTCTAGCAAAAAGATTCACAAACTCCTTGTATAGTGGGAAGCATACAAACCGTGCATCTATTGGTTTGAACCCACCTAATAAATCAGCAACATCACTTTGTTGACTCAAGTTCTGCACAAAATATAAATCAGTCCAAATATCAAAAGTGACTACATATAGTAAATTCCACTTGTACAATTGTATAGAACATACCAGCACTGCAAGTTTTTTACCAAGCTTTGTTGCCAGACTCTGTACAAGAGTGGTTTTACCCGTACCAGTTTCACCCACCAAAAGAACAGGCTCATTATACTTCACAGAACAAGCTATTCTCTCTAGAATATGCAACGAATTGCGTATTTGAACAAAAGGTCTCTCGTCAAGGCAGAACTGTTTGAGCAAACATAATATAAAGGTTTAATAGCGATACCAAATAAATTTCCGACAAAGAAATATATTCCCTCCATCCCGAAATTAAGTTCTCACTTTCCTTTTCGGGATGTCCCAAAATTAAGTTCCCACTTCAACTTCTTTCTATATTTGGTACGTTTTTATTATTCATTTACCCTTTTACCCTCACATCACTTCATTGAATTGACATCACTTCATTGAATTGAAGTGTGTTACCCCCATTTCACTATTCATTACTCCCTTTATCATACCCATTTTGAAACTACACCTTTTAATAGCCCAAGGGCATTTTTTAAAAGCCAACTTTATTTCCCATTCTACCAAAAAAACCGTGAAATCAAACTAGGAACTTAATTCAATAACTCGGGACGGAGGGAGTATTAACTACAAAATAATAAGAATTTCACTCACATTTTTCTGACAGCACTCCAAGGCAACCCGGCCAACATATAATGTCAGACATTGATTCTTGCCTTGTGAAATTTCTTGAAACATAGGCTTATTTATAAGACATAATTTCTCAACATCATCAACTGACCACAAGTTAGCTATCCCATTCATTATAGCCAAACGGATCTCAGCAGAAGAAAATGAAGCTGCAAAAATATCTGATGCCTGCAAAATAAATGGAAGCTCATGCACCAACTACGCTGCCTAGAATATCAAAATCTAATGGCAGTTTACGAGATATCATTTCATGTCAGACCTCTTTAACAATAGTTTCACGAGCACAGATTGACAAACCATCTTGGAAGGAGAGAAAATCTTGTCCTGCAATTCTCTTGCACCATTTTAAGAGATCTCTGCAATTAGAGGTAACTCGTTTAAATAAAGAATGCAAAAAACCATGACTCATCAAGCATTTAAATAGTAGACCTCAATGAGAATCGCCCGAGAGTACTGCAGGATATAGATCCTGTTTGAGATGCTGAAAGTTCATTGACAAGTTTGAATGTATCTGCATTAAAAGTTGGAAAACAGTCACTGGCAAATTCTAAGGATCTCTACCAATAAGGGAAGAGATATCTAAAAACTAGAAAATATATACCTATAAGTTTCCCTGCAAGAGGGTTCATTTTCGGATACCATGCATCCACAATTTTTAACAAGTCATCTCCACTAGGAGTACCAACCAAGATTCTTCTCCAAAATGCACTCACAGAAAAATTGCCTAGCAACAAACAAATGGAGTAGATAGAGGAAAAAGGTTAGCCAACATAAGAGAGCAAATAAAGATTTATTAAAGTGTTTATAGAACACATCTGATTTAATGTCATGAATAGCTGTAAAATAGGAAATATATATGATTCGGGAAAGGATTTAAAGTTTCTGTAATTTTTTTGCTCCATCACTACTCTCAGTAGTTAATAAAAGACAACAAAATTTATATATTCACTACACAACATCTTAAAGTCATCATAATGTCAAACCACAGCTTAATAGCAACATCCAACTATCCAAAAGGTGCAAGAACAACACAATTTGAAACCAATGAGCAAATTGCGGCTGTTACTTTTATGCTGAAGAGACACTGTATATAGTCTACTTGCCAGAGGTAATCTAATGTCCTAAAGTAGGGATGTAGGATGATAAGAGTACATTTTTAAAGCTAATGTGCCGTGTAAGAAAGACAACAGTGTAAACATCAGTTTACATGTGCACACTAGCATTACCAACCTTCTGCATATATATCCAGTTTTGAGCTTGTGACAGTAGAAAATATGCGGAAGCCTTCATTCACATTGATTACCTGCATTGATCTAGAAGTTAGCATAAGTATGTGTATATGAAGAGATGTAATGCTTGTGTTTTATTATCTGAGCATGAAATGCCTAATCTAAAAGATTCGGCACCGCCTCGTAACAAGGACTTACAATGGACTTGACCAACAAAACTTTTAATTCTTACACCGGATACAGTAGGATGCCGAACATTCACATGAATAAAAAATAGGTCTCATGCGATCAAAATATGGAGGGACCAACATCCCATTTGTGTAATCTAACATTTCATTGGCATCAATTAAGTTTGGTACATCCATGTTATTAACTATGTACAACAGCATATCCGAATAAAGTTCCATTGAAAACTAGTGCATCTCTGAGAAACGAATAACAAACAAGAGAGAATAGAATTTTGATCAGATATTTTACTAATTTAGGCAAAGAGAGTGCAAAATATATTATGTACTACGTATTAAATTGTAGAGTACTCAAATCAGGTGAAAACGAATTAATATGGTTAGATTGTAGAGTACTCTCTCTGCCCCATAAAACTAGGCCAAAGTTGACTTGCGGGTAGAATAATAAAGTAAAAACTGTGTGACTGAGATCTGTGCAGAGGAAAACGAAATAAATTTAGTCACAGTTAGTTACTTAAAATGGAAATGGCAAAGTTTTTTGGGACAGCCAAAAAAGGAAAGTTGGCAAAGGTTTATGGGATGGAGGTAATATAAGATTATGTAATGCAAAAAACCCCAATTATACCCCCTTTGTCCCACAATTAAAGTCCCAGTTAGACTTTGTGGTCTCCTAGGTGAATGTTTGACTATAATTATCTATAAATATATACTTATGTAAGCTATAATAAATTGACATTTGAATATTATATATTACAAAGAAGCACATTAAATAATTTTTTTGGGATAAAATATTGTCAATTTTGAGTAAATAGCAGTCAAAGTTTAACAAGTTTGACTCAAAAGTCAAACTGGGACTTTAATTAAGGGGCGGAGGTAGTATATGAGATGAGAGCAGATACTCCAGATATAGATATAACGATATACCTCTCCGTGGCCAGTGGAAAATGAACTTGAGCCCTCTAACAAGGGTAATAAGATAGACTGAACATCTGGTGGTGCTTTATCCACGTCCTCAAAGACAACCCACAGTCCTTTTGAAACAGCCTGCATTGGAGTATGAAACCATGCACAGCTAATGATAAGGTATTGAAATCTTAGCATGTGCCCCTTTTAATAAAAATAATTCCTACCTGAGTAAGAGAACCATGTTGCCATCTAAATTCACCTGGGTGCTCGGCACAAACATAACTCCCTACTAATGTCTTGCCATCAATTTGCTCATCCATGTGTATAGACAGAACTTTTTATGAGACCAGCCACAAAAATACAGCGTATATAGAAGAAGAGATGCAGTTAGTAATTGAAGAGGTTACAAGTAGAACATTATGTGAGTGCAAACAAAACACTATGGAGGCTATGAAACATGGAAATGAACACATATGCAGCCATACCGACACTACAAGCACAACGAAAACTTTAATTATAGCGATAAATGAGGGAAAATAACTTCAAATAATACAGACTTATCTTCCATGAGCCAATACTACTACATACTAAGATGATAATATTAATAATACCAACTATTTAGCAATTTTCCCTAAAAACTCAGTCATTTAACTCGTCAAAAACTAATATCAAATCAAATAAGTGACCCTATTTCCAAAGATATATATTTTTATAGCAAATGATTTATAAAATAAAAATCATATGGAAATGTTCTTTGTTAAATGTAGTTTCATAAGTATAAATTTACAGCTTTCATAGAATTATAATTATTATACTAATCAAAATCATTAGCCAAAGTTCACCATCATTGACTTTAAAGTCAAAGATGGCAAAGTTTTAAGGGACGGGGATAATGTCATTTATTTAACTGTCATCACTTCTTTGTTATGAAGCAGCAGTCAGTCCATGCAATTTTCGAAGCAATTTTGACGCAATTTTCATCTTGAGTCACCTGAAAACAGTCTCTCTATGATTTACTACTGGGGTGAGGCTGCTAAATCCAACCCTCCCTTACCCCACCCTACGTGGGAGCCTTTGCAACATTGGGATAATGTTGTTATATTCAAATAATTGCTATTATTAGAAATAATTTCTGTAGTAAATGTTACATTATTTTATTCTTATTAGCTTTGTGTAAATACTTAGCCGAATAGATTAGAATTAAGGTTGTTGATTATTGATAAGCTCGTAGTTATCAAGATCCTAAATTTTAGGATCTACACTAGTTGTTTGTTACTTGTACAACTGTATATATACTTTGGCCGATTGGCATAATCAATCAAGGAAGTTTTATTCCTAGAACCTACATGGTATCAGAGCGGTGAATTTACACATCACAATGGTGGAATTCGAACACTCTGACTCATCTCCCTATTCACAAACCAGTAACCCTAACCCCCATATTAGCTCAATGGCAAACTATCAGGCCTTGGTTAATTCATCTATGCTCATTAATAGACATAGATTGAATGGAAGAAATTACCTAGAGTTGTCACAATTTGTCAAATTAGCAATTGATGGCAAGGACAAACTGGGATATCTAACTGGTGAAATCAAGGAGAAGAAAAGTGGTGAAGATGGATACAGTGTCTGGAGGTCAGAAAACTCACTAGTAACAGCATGGCTTCTCAGTTCAATGGATGCATCAATCGCCAAACCTCATATGTTTATGAAAACTGCAAAAGAGGTATGGGACTCTATTAAAGAAACTAATTCAGATCTTGAGAACTCTTCTCAGATTTTTGAACTCAAAACCAAGTTGTGGCAGTCTAAACAAGGAAATAGAGATGTCATCTCATACTACAATGAGATGGTATCTCTATGGCAGGAATTAGATCAATGTTATGATGATGATGAAGAGTGGGAAAGTGCCAAGGATCTGGCAAGACATAGGAAAAGAGAAGAGAATGATAGGGTCTATATGTTTCTAGCAAGAATTAATAGGGACCTGGATGAAGTAAAGGGAAGAATACTTGGAAAAAAACCTCTGCCTTAAATCAGAGAAGTTTTTCTGAGATCAGGATGGAAGACAGTAGGAAAAAGGTTATGTACAATACTCCAGTACATAATGATGAACCTGGAGACTCTTCTGCAATGGTGGCCAGAAGTGATGAAAAGAAAAAACCCTAATGTGATCACTGCAAGAAATTATGGCACACTAGGGAAACTTGCTGGAAAATTCATGGGAAGCCACCAAGAGTAGGAAAGAAGAAGTTTGAAAAGGCTCTTCAAACAACTGTGATTGAAACTCAACAAGAACCACAAGTCAATTTCAAGCAGCCTTACTTCTTCACGAAGGAAGAGATAGAGCAACTCTTTAACCTTCTAAATACTCAGAAAAATTCCAATCCTGAATCTTCCTCTTCATCTTATGCCCAGAATGGTACCACTTCATCATTTTTTTGTTCTGGAGAACCTAAAATTACCTGGGTCATTGACTCAGGGGCTACAGACCATATGACCTCTATTTCAAACCTTTTCTTTTCATATAAGCCATTGCAGATATTAATAGGGACCTGGATGAAGTAAAGGGAAGACTACTTGGAAAAAAATTGTGCAGATAGTAGGAAGAAGGTTATGTACAATACTCCAGTACATAATGACGAACCTGGAGACTCTTCAACAATGGTGGGCAAAAGTGATGAAAAGAAAAAACCCTGGTGTGATCATTGCAAGAAATTATGGCACACTAGGGAAATTTGCTTTAAAATTCATGGGAAGCCACCCGAAGCAGGAAAGAAGAAGTTTGAAAAGGCTCTACAAACCCTGCTACAAACACTGCAAGATTACTTCCCATTGCAGATAGTAATCCCTGCTACAACCAAGTTTTCTTTTCAACCTAAAAGTACCTGTGCAGGGGACAAAAAGGTCAAAGTTGCAGATGGCTCTTTATAAGCCACTGCAGGGATGGGAAATGTTAAAATATCCTCATCTGTTAATCTATCCAAAGTCCTACATGTCCCCAATCTATCGTGCAATCTTGCTTCTGTTAGTTAGTTAACTAAAGACCTTCAATGTTGTGTTATTTTATATCCTTCTTATTGCATTTTTCAGGACCTGGCATCGGGGAGGATGATTGGCGGGAGAAAGATGGACTATATCTTTAATGAAGGGACTCGATCAAATAAAAGAGGTCAAAGAAATGCTTGCTGGCAAACTGTTTCTTTTTCAAATAATAAAGAGTTGTATTTATTTCATTATAGACTTGGACATCCTAGATTTTATTTATTAAAAAAGATGTTTCCTCGGTTATTTCTGAATAAAGATGCTTCTTTGTTTCACTTGCAAAACATCATAAAAATTCTTATATTCCCCACAGTTATAAACCTACTAGTCCTATTACTTTAATGCATAGTGAAATTTGGGGTGCATCTAGAGTACCAACTATAAAGGGAAAGAGATGGTTTGTAACTATTATTGATGATCATACACGAGTCACATGGGTATTTTTAATCAAAGAAAAATCTGAAGTAGAAAAGGTGTTTAGGGATTTCTATGCTATGGTCCAAACTCCAATTAAAATGGTAAGAAGTAATAATGGCCGTGAATATTTTTCTGAAAACCTAAACAATTTTTTTGCTAAAAAGGGAATAATACATCAAAGCTCTTATATTAATACACCAGCTCTGAATGGAATTGCAGAAAGAAAAAATAGACATTTACTTGAAGTCACTCGTGCAATCATGTTTTCAACAAAAATACCAAAATATCTGTGGGGAGAGGCTGTGTTACATGCTACTTATTTAATTAATCGCATGCCATCAAAAAATTTAGGATTTAAAAGTCCTGTCAACACACTCCAACATTACTTTCCTACAAACATAATGATCAGCATTATTCCTTTAAAAAAAATTGGTTGCACGGTGTTTATAAAAAAACTAGATAAATGTGCAAGTAAACTTGATCCTAGAGGAACTAAATGTGTTTTTCTAGGGGTCTCTTCCACTCAAAAGGGGTATAAATGTTTTGACCCTACAACCAAAAAAATGTTTATCACAATGGATGCCTTTTTTGTGGAAGAACAACCTTTCTTTGATACTCATCTTCAGGGGTAGAGTGCAAGTGAAGATGTTCAAAAAGTGCCACATTTTCATGAAAATCTTAATTTTCTTGATATTAATCTAGATGATCACTCCTTTAGAAATATATAGGAACATCTGAAAATGGTCAAGAAGTAACAAATAATGAAATAAATACAACTGAACCAATTTAAAAAGATCAACAGACAAGTAAGTTCTTTGGCAAAGTTAATGAGAGAAGAGTGTCAAATCAAAGAATAGAGGAAGAACGAAGAACATGTGTTACATACCCTATCTTAAATCATGTTTCTTATTCTAGATTGTCCTCATCTTTTGCAACCTTCACTTCCCGTGTTTCTTCTATTTCTATTCCTTCAAACACTTGGTTTAAAAAAGCGCGCCTGAGCCGCGCAAAGGCGCGAGGCACCTCTGGGCCATGACTTCATCGCATCCAAACATCTAAGGCGCAGCAGATTCTATAAGGCGCGCCTTTTACCTCGCCCAGTGCCGTTTTTTTAGCCTCTTTGAGGCGTCGCCTTTCACGCCTTATGGAATATGTCCGTTGAACTTCCTTCAAGCCTCTTGGCGATTCATCCTGCTCGATTTCCAGAACTTTTGTAGGGTATTATACAATATACCTATGTAAGGTAAGGTTACTTCACTCCATCAACTGAAAGTCTCAAACCTTCCGCTCTCTCTGTCGCAGATCATTGCCATTTTTATGTTTGTTTTTCTTCCATTCTCTTTGATTTTTTTCTTCGGCTTCGTACGTTTCTTTCTTCCGTTCTCTTTGTTGTCTTTCTTCCTCTAGTCTTTGTATTCTTCATATTTTTATTTTTTAAATAAATAAAATAAATCAAATTATGTAAACATATAACCATATACCAATCTTCCGATTCTTCCTTAAACCCTAATCCCAATCGGAATTTTATCAATTTAAAAAAAAAAAAATATATATGGTTTGTCAAATCTGTGAATCTGATTGTTTAACTTTATACTCTTGATACTTTATAAGTTTATTATATAACAATTAGACAATTATATATGACAGCTTGTTGTTATTAATAATCTTTAAATAAAAGTTTATTTAAAAATTTACTACTAATTGCTTAGGATTAGTAATAAGTGTTTATAGTTTATTGTAAATATATTTACTATTAGTAGAAGTATTTTTTAGAAGAGTGCTTCATGTATAAGTTGTATAAACATATTTTACCAAAGATATGTGGTTTAGTTCAGTGAGGCGCGCGCCTCGCGCCTCGGGTAAATCAATGAATCGCCTCGCGCCTTTTAAAACTAAGTGAAAAAGGGCTGTTTTGGAAGAGATGGAGGCTCTTGAAAAGAATCAGACATGGAAGATTATAGAACTGCCTAGAAAAAAACCTACAGTTGGTTGCAGGTGGATTTTTACTCCTAAGTTTAAGGCAGATGGAAATCTTGAGAGGTATAAGTCAAGATTAGTAGTTAAGGGATACAGACAGACCAATGGCATTGACTACACAGAAACCTTTGCACCAGTTGCAAAGCTGAACACTGTAAGAATACTTTTATCCCTTGCTAATTTAGACTGGCCACTTCAAGAACTGGATGTAAAAAATGCTTTTTTTAATGGGAAACTTGAAGAAGAAGTATATATGAAACCCCCTCTTGGGTTTGAGAGCAGATTTGGTTCAAAGGTATGCAAATTAGAGAAAGCTCTGTATGGACTTAAACAGTCTTCAAGGGCTTGGTTTGATAGGTTCACAAGGTTTATAAAAAGGCAATAGTTCAATCAGGCTCAAGCTGATCATACACTATTCATGAAGTTTTCAGGCAAGGGGGAGATTGCAATATTAATTGTCTATGTAGATGATATTATCCTCGCAGGAAATTATCATACAGAAACTAAAAACTTAAAGGAAAAACTTGCTCAGGAATTTGAGGCCAAGGACCTAGGAGAATTGAAATGCTTGGAATGGAGATAGCTAGATCAACTAAGGGAATTGTTGTCTCACAAAGAAAGTATATTTTAGATCTTCTGCAGGAAACTGGAATGAGTGCATGCAAACCAGCTGACATTCCAATTGACCCCAGTCAAAAGTTGGGAGATGTCAAGGAGGGAATTCTAGTTGATATTCATCAATATCAAAGATTGGTGGGAAGATTAATATATTTGGCACATACAAAGCCTGATATTGCATATTGCATTTGCAGTAAGTATGGTGAGCCAGTTTATGCATCATCCTTTTCAGGAACATCTTGATGCCACTTACAGGATCTAAGGTACCTGAAGAGCTGCCCACGAAAAGGGTTGTTTTTCAAAAAGGGGAAAAGTAGGACAGTAGAGGCCTTTACTGATGCAGATTATGTTGGCTCAATATCTGATAGAAGATCTACTTCTAGATATTGTACCTATGTATGGGGGAATCTAGTAACTTGGAGAAGTAAGAAACAAAATGTGATTGCTAGAAGTAGTGCAGAATCAGAATTCAGATTTATGGCTAATGCAATATGTGAATTACTTTGGATCAAGAGAGTAATTACAGATTGAAGATGGAGATAGAACTGCCTATGAAGTTGTATTGTGATAATAAAGCAGCTATTAGCATTGCTCATAATCCTATGCTACATGATCAAACCAAGCATATTGAAGTGGACAGACATTTCACTAAGGGGAAGATTGAAGCTGGAATTGTGTGCACACCATTTGTATCCACTAAAGACCAAACAGCTTATATCTTCACCAAAGGATTGTTTAAACCAGTGTTCTAACTACTTATAAGCAAGTTGGGAATGTATGATATATATTCACCAACTTGAGGGGGAGTGTAGAAAATGTTACATTATTTTATTCTTATTAGCTTTGTGTAAATACTTAGCCGAATAGATTAGAATTAAGGTTGTTGCTTATTGATAAGCTCGTAGTTATCAAGATCCTAAATTTTAAGATCTACACTAGTTGGTTGTTACTTGTACAATTGTATATATACTTTGGCCGATTGGCATAATCAATCAAGGAAGTTTTATTCCTAAAACCTATAATTTCCAAAGTGTGTATTATTATTGGTTTATAGGTGATAGTTGGTATTATTTAAAGTTATTTTCCCAATGCAAAAAAGTCTAATTTGGAAGAGAATGTTTTTACTGGTTTAGAAGAGCAGCAGATCTGGGAGGGTGGGGGGGAGAGAGATTGATGTGGCTTAATTTGTTCTCTTATCTGTTTGTTTTGAGCTTGAGTCCTACATTTTGAAGTTGTTTCAAAAAAGACTGGCATGTCATCTCCTCGAGGCCCGATGCCCTAAAGTGTCTTCCCTATCTACATTATAGGGGGCACAAACTTCATGTGCCCAGAACATGTCGAGGTCGAGTCATATTGTCAGTGGTCCATGGCCCAGGCAATGTCCTAAAAGATGGTCTAGGTGGCGTGCACTAGCAGCACAAGCGCCCAGATGGAGCCTGTGATATTGTGCAACACAGATCCCCATTGTGTCCGACGTGCACACTTCAACTCTTCACTTCGACTCTTTAGATGTGCCACAGTGCCAATGCTTCATAAGTTCATAGCATGTGAAACCAGGATATGCATCACATGAAAACAAAATGTACAAACACGCTTTTAAAGGGACTGGACAGCAGAAATGTTGACAACAGCACAATAACTTACAATGCAATTAGAGATTAAAACCAAATACAGGCAAACAATTAAATAACAGTTGAGAGGATAAAGCCAAGCAGAAACTTTCTTGCCAAGCAATGTGTGCTGATACATAATAGGAGTATTACACCTACTATCAAGAAGAAATACATAACACAACTATAAATCAAGAGCCTACCCTCACTTAAGAGATGCAATATGTGGCACTGACAAGAAAACTTGTAAACTGGATCCTCTCAAGTATTACTGAGACTTATTTACAAGTTAAGTATTATTTAAGAACAAACCATCACACCAAGAGTATAAAAAGAAATTTACTCAAATTGGACCAAAACTTACGATATTTCCTTATATTGTACTACAACTAAAAATAGGACTAAACAATTATTAATAACCCAGAAATATGCCTCTTATTGTACAGCTTCCACAGCCAAATAGCACCACCACCCGAACGCTGCTGCCGCCAGTCACCGAATTCGCAGCTGGAACCCACCGAAGAGTCATTGGATAGTTGCCAGATATTTGCCGGAACTCTGGCTGCCGGTTGCAATCGGGAAGTTGCTGGCAGCTCCACTAGGCAGCCACCACTAAACCCTGAGTGGGATTAGTAAAGGCTAACCCTAAGTCCTAGGAGGATTGGTAAACCCTAAACCCTAGGAGGATTGGTAAACCCTATCAATTTTTTAGGGTAATATAGTTACTCTTTCATAACATATGATCACATAATTCTTATTAAAAGAAAAAACTAGTAGTCCTATTTTTGAAAAGAAACTACGTTTTAGTCCAGAAATCATCATCATCATTTTCATTTACCCCAGTGCCGCAAAGGCTCCCACCTACGGTGAGGTAAGGGGGGTCGGATGTACGCAGTCTTACCCCTGTACTAAAGCACAGAGAGACTGTTTCCGGATGACCCATAGTGAAAATCGTGTTCAAATGGCATGGACTGACTGCTACTTCATAACAAAGAAGCGCAGACAGTTTAGTGAGCCATTTTGCTTTATTCCATCATATTCTCAAGCCAAAAAAATAATGAATCTTTGGCTCCATTTCAAATGATGGAAAAGTTTTAGTCCAGAAATAAAGAGCAAATTTCTCAAAAAGAAAGAGACAACAAACATGTCAGTAGTATATATTGATAATAAATAAAATCACCTTGACTCCCATAATCTTGTGCTAGCCTTGATATAAGTGCAGTTTTCCCTGCACCAGCAGGACCATACAAAAGAACAGGCCACCTCTGATTCACAGCTAAAAAGACCATCTCATAACTCTTCTTCACAGCTGAAGTTAAGGTGAATGGTTTTCCTTCACCCCTGAATATCATATCCAAAAGGGAAAGAATATTTGTCAAATGGTGTCTACTCCACAAAGCACGGAAGCAAATAAATAATTAGAAACATTAAATAATAAACAATGTCTAATCCAAATGCTCATACCTTGCGATCTCCTTTGATTGTGAAAATGTATGTACTGCAGAAGAGGAAGAAATCAAGGAGCAAAAGTTTGTTGAAGGGGCTGAATAAACTAGATCAAACCCATTGAACTCAACACCCAAATTTTTATCTTTTCCCTTTGAAGTTTCAATATACATGCCAGCTTTTTCTATCGATACATCCTGACAAAATTCTTGCCACCTATAATGAAGGCATGTAAATAGGTGAGGGAGAAGAAAAGGTACTACTTTTCAGAAGATTCAACTATTGGATCTACAATGCTCAGGGTACTTCATGCTCCATGCAATTTATACAAGAATTACACTGTTGTGTTTTATGCAACACAAACCTATCAGCAGACTCATATAGCAAAAAGTTGGACTTTCTTGGTCAATAATATATATAGGATTTTGATTAGCTTTGTGATTGTACTGCATCCACATATAGGCTTCTTCCTCATTCGCAAAGAATATTTGAGAAGGTAGAAAAACAGCTCATTTACAAAACTGGAACAAACACATCAATCACTCACCTCAATAAACACAAAAGATCTTCTTCAGCATTCAGACTTGCATTTGAACTTAAGCTGAGAACCACCGATAATATTTTTTTCCCACACCATCTTATATCAGAGAAATTTTTCTTCAGCTCGTCATTGGTATTAACAGGGATATCAGTATACTTCTTCACAAGGTCTATAAAACAGGACCAGTTCCATAACATTATAAACTCCGACGCTGACAAAAGATAACGATACGAGACTCTTACAATATCTACAAGACAAGTTCCTCCCTGTAAAAATTAAAGTTGATCCAGAACTGAGAAAATACTAAACCAAAGCGTACATATTATATTATAATAAAGCTGCGGTTCTAGAGAAATATAATTCACAGTTGCACTTGCAATTTTTAACCCTTTTAAATTGTGTACATTTTGTTATTCTAATGTGTTGCCCATTAGAAAACGAATTCGTGCCAACAATAAGTTGACCAGAATGAGTGGAATACTGCTATCAGGTCCAATATTCAGTCGCGTGTAATGTCAAGTCAAAACAACAACAGTTTCTAGCAAATGATGCACTTGAGTCCTATACTCCCACTGCATAATCTTACTCATTTGTTAATTTAAATAACTATTTGAAGTATCATATCTGAGAAGTTGAGAACCTCAATCACGCCCGTTGTTTCTTGTGTAGACAATGTTCATTTACTCTCTTTCTTGGAGATATACAAACAGAGGAGTATACTCACCGTTTTTTGGTTTGGGAATATGATGGAATAAAGCAAAATGGCTCACTAAACTGTGTGAGCTTGTATGTTATGGAGCAGCAATAAGTGGAAGAAAAATCAAATACTTGAGCATACTGGAAGTTGTATAATGAACTTACCACAGCAAAATCTTCACCAAATGATTCTTTCTTTTTTATCCTTTGGAAAGGAGGTGGAGCAAAACTAAAATAACTAAAAATTGACCTAGAATAAGGAAATCAGAATGTCAGCATGCAAGAAAATGGTAAGCATGCACCAATTGGTAACGCTAGCTTCAAGATGAAAATGCTAATGTGCAAGTTGGGACTTGGGAAGATAAAAAAAAATGTATCTTACTCCTTCAAATGAGGAACCAAATCGAGTGCCCTACAGAATGCAAGACATGCAAGTTCATGAAGCCTCAAACCCTTCCCATTTCTGACGTAAACATCAACAAAATGTGTAACGTCGGCAGGGTCATAACCTTCATCTTCTGCAATAAATCTTTCTTCATCAAAATCCGTCATCAAATCATCCTTATCTGAACTCAAGTCAGGCACTAAACGAAGCAGCTCCACTGCCCTGTCAATAACTTTGCGTGCTATCGGTAGAAAACATCCCACCAACGGTATAGTATAATTCGGGTGCAGAACCAATTCTCCCAATGCATTTACAACTTCTCCTTCAGTAAGCTCAGTACCCTGCAATTCAAAGAGCATTAGTGTCATTTTAAATCGCAAATGCTTGCCGAAAAACATCTTAATCGGTAAACCGAACGGAAAAGTCATTAAAAAAGTTAGTACTCCGTATATAGATAGATAGATAAATACCTTATTCAGTAGGTAAACGAATAGCTGAACCTTGGCAAGCTTGGGGCGCCGATTAACAAACCTCTCAAGCTGGGATTCAAGACGAAAGCTCCCGTCAAGCGACATCTGTGCTTCAACAATGTTACAAAAAATATGTTTTCTTTGTTCTCTCTTCTTCTACAGCAAGGAAGCTAGGGCTTAAGGCCGTCGTTAGTTCAAGGGTTTAGCGCATGTCGTGGGTTCAGGGTTTAAGACTTGTACTACGTATCATTGTAGGGAGTAATTATATATAGGGAAAAACCGGAAAATATCCTTAGATATGATTAAAGTATAGAAAATTTTGCTCTATATAGAATACTAGTCGGTAATAGAAGCACTCCTAGGATCGGTAGGTTTTAATTATTAGTAATTGTCCAATATAGGACTAAAATTAGACTTAATCTTCTAAATAGGACTAAATGTTTTTAATTCCCCAAATAGGATTCCGGATTAGTAGGGTTGTAAACGAATCAAATAATTTGGGCTCGATTCGCGATCCGAATTCGTATAAGGCGATTCGAATTCGCAAAATTCAAATACAAATACAAATAAGAATATTAAATTTGATTCGAGTTGTTATCAAATACAAATAAGAATATCAGTGTATTCGATTCGAATATTAATCAAATATATTCGATTAATAATAGTGGTAGTATTAATATCAATATTAATAATAATAGTAATAACACTATAATAACTTTTAAAAGATACATTTTTGCATACAAATTTGAAGCCTATATGTAATAAATCAGAATATAAGCACGAATAAAAATCAATTTTTTGGTTCAAATGTCTTTCAAATACAAAACAAATAATTATGTATTCGATTTGAAGAATAAAATTAAAGTTGTTTGACTTTGATATATACAATTGTCAACTTATTTCACACATTATAAGTATAATTTCTGATATGTGTGTGTTAGTGTTTATCTCAAAAGGTTTGAAATAGATTTATATTTATTAATCATAAAATTAATTCACTTTAGTATATTGTGCAACATCTAAAAATGCATTGATCCATTAAATTTTTATTCTAAGAACACATATTAAGTCATAGCATGCATTTACAACATAAACAATACGGAGTATAAGAAAAGTTATTTTAAAGTGACACTCCGTATTTGACTAATATTTAACCTATGCTCAAATCGATTCGATGTTCATATATAATTCGTTAACTATTCGTATTGTTAAACAAATACAAATACAAATCGAAATTAATATTCGTTTCATATTTGAATTCGAATTCGTATTCGAAAAAATTAAACAAATACAAATACAAAACCTCATTATTCGACTCGATTCGGTTCGTATACAACCCTACGGATTACTTCAAACTTTATTTTTCTTTCACTTGCCTTTTAACATCATTTTTGGATTATTATTGTTATTGGTAGTATTGAAATGTATAAGGTCGTTAGTTGTCTTGGACGGCGACGGGTGGCCGCGATGTGTGCCCTCCCATATCTCGCCAATGACGAAGCTTCCTTCTAAAACCCGCCTCGCTCAAGTTAGAATTTTGTGCTGCTAATCTTCGTAAGTATTTTTTAAAGGAAAAATTTACAAAACTAATCACACTTTTGACTGATTTTCTCATAATAATCTCACATTTACGTAATCTCAGAATAATCTCATTTTTGCATCTCATCTTTTCTCGTTTGACCCTGACTGATTGATGACCTACTATATGAGGTTTTTGCCTTTTCTTTGAAATGATTTGTTTACCGTGTTCTTTAAAATTTTACTCCTTTTACTGATTTATTTGTAATGATTAATAATATGGTTTGATTATTCAAAAAAGAAATGTTTGATTAATGTTAATTTTAGATGATTTATATTTGCTCTAACAATACAATAATACAACAACAACTAAGCCTTAATCCCAACAAGTTTTGGGGTCGGCTAGCATGAATCGATACATTATAACGAAACCAAAAGAAAAGAAAGATAAAAAAGATAAAAATATAAGATATAATAAAAAAAGATAATATAAAAAGAGATGGATATATATATGCATAAAGATGATAGAATAAAAGGGGAAATAAGAATATATATGTACACACACATATGTATATAAAAGGATTAAAAACCCAGAAAAAAGGATATGAAATGGAAAAGATTATAAAATATCACTCCTCCACACAAATATAGTCATATACGCCCTCCACTTTGCTCTCAAAAGTCATACTCTCATTCAACTCAAGAAGAAGCATATCACTTCTAACTCCTCTAATCCACACATGTTTGAGTCGTCCTCTTTATCTATTCTCTGTCTCTTCTCCACACATCTCAACTCGTTTGACAGGTGCATCACTCGGTCTTCCACGCACTTGACCAAACCACGACAAGCGAGACTCTCACATCTTATCTTCAATAGGTGTTACTTCCACCTTTCGTCTGATTGTCTCGTTTCTCATGCAGTCCTTTTTAGTATGTCCACACATCCAACGCAGCATGCGCATCTCTGTCACACTCATTTTTTGAATGTGAAATTGTTTTACCGCCCAGCACTATACGCCTTACAGTAATGCTGACCTAATTGTTGCCCTATAAAATTTACCCCTCAGTCTAGTCGGCATACCTCAATTGCATAGAAGTCCCGACACACTCTTCCATTTTATCCACCATGTTCTGATTCTATGTGCTACATCTCCATCTAAATGGGTGTTTGGATTTGATTCTTAAAACTGATTCTGCTCCCTGAAGGAATAGCAACAAAAGTTAGAGTGTTTGGATGAAAGTGCAGAAGTGATTTTAGTGCTCTAATTTACTCAAAGAATCAGTTTTTTAGAAGTTGGGGAGATCAGCTTCTGAAAACTTATTCTGATACTGCTTCTACTTTAAAAAAGAAGCAGAAACAGAATCAGTTCCAAACACCCCCTAATTCACCATCCTTCTGAATTATGAAGCCCAAGTAACAGAACATATCGCTGACTGGTATTTCATTACCATCTAGAGTAATACCGTTATTACCACTACTTCCACCTCCAGCAAACTTGCACTCCATGTACTCTGTCTTGCTTCGACTCAGTTTGAAACTCTTGTGCTCCAATGTTTGTCGTCATACTTCCAGCTTTGCTGTAACACCTGATTGCGTCTCGTCAATTAATACAATATCGTTGGCAAACATCATGCACCACGGTATATCGCCTTGAATTGACTTTGTAAGTTCATTCATGAGTATGACAAATAAGAAAGGGCTTAAAGCTGATCATTGGTGCACTCCGATAGTAATAGGGAACTTTGCAGTCCTCCTCATAGTATTACAGACACTTGTAGTACAGTACTCATACATATCCATGATGATGCTAATATAATTGTGTGATATACCTTCTCTAGTTAAGGCCCATAAAAAACTTCTCAAGTTACCCTATAGGGTAACTTGAGAAGTTTTTTATGGGCCTTAACTAGAGAAGGTATATCATATTTCTTTTCTAAGTCAATGAACACCAAATACAGATCCTTGTTAGTGTCTTTATACCTATCCACAAGTTGTCGAAGAAGGTGAATGGCGCCAATTGTTAAGTCAACAGGCATAAAACCGAATTGATTCTCTGAAATCTTCACACTTTTTCGAAGCCTTTGCTCAATATAAACACTCTCTCCCAAAGTTTCATGGTGTAACTCATGAGCTTAATCCCTCGATAGTTAGTACATTCTTGTATGTCACCCTTATTCTTAAATAAGGGAATAAGGGTACTCCTCCGCCAACTCGCTGACATTTTGTTGTTAATTCCTACAAAACTTATTGAAGAAACTTGTTAACCACTCAACACCTTTCTCTCCCAAACGTCTCCAGGCCTCAATTGGTCTGTCATCTGGACCCACGACTTTCCTCCTCCCCATCTTCCTCAAAGCCTATTTAACTTCTGTCAGTTAGATCCTTCTCACAAAATCTCGATTTACCATACAATCTGATATGGTCAAATGACCGATATCTTGCGCTTTATTCCCATGGAATAATGTATCAAAGTGATGGAGTATATGGTCCGGGGAACCCCCGGACCACAGACTCCCACTACTCCAACACAGGCCCAAGAAGCACAGGAGGCCCAAAGCACAGCGGCCCAAGCTCAAAGGGGCCCACAGTGCGCCTGGGGGTAGCCTTCGGCGATATGGCCGAAGGATCCAAAACTCACAGGACAGCCAGGTTTGAGCATACGAAGCTACTGAGAGAAAATGGCAGAAATCGAGAGCTTTCGGCACGTTCGTGCCCTTGGCATCAGGGAAGCCTTCAGCTGAACCAAGCCGTCGGCTACACAGAACTCTCAGTCGCATGGAGGGCCTTCGGCTAACAGCTCAATCATCGAAGATTCCCTTTGAAGACAAGCAACCACCGCATTTAATGCGGCGTCACGTCCAACCACCGCATTTAATGCGGTGCACATGCGAGTGCCGGTGCCACCCCGATTGAGGTGACCCCTCGGCCGTTAGATTACTGACACGTGTACTTCCATCACATTTATTGCTGCTATAAATAGCATCCCTTATTCCTCTTGTAAAGGACCAGAACATCTCGAGTTCATTAATACAATCGACTCTCTCTCTCTTACTTGTTTGCTCTGACTTCTCTATAGGTTATTCTCATAATAACCCCTCGGATAAGCTACCCCCCCCCCCCCCCGGGTACACTGTCCATCACAAAGTATGACCCCATCTTTCTTTGCTTGTCTTTTAGGCTCCTTGTAGTCTTCTATGTTCTCATCACCCCAACTTGTCCCCAATTTTTTGTAGCAATCTCTTTTATTCCTTATGGTCTGTTTCACCTCATCATTCCACCAAGACGTGTCCTTTTTTATGGCAAGCATCATTTAGATTTTTCAAGTACCTCTTTTGCCACTTTGGTAATGATCAACTCAATTGATAGCCGCACATCATCCACTACATGTGTTTCACTATCATTCCACCATACACATTCACCAAACGTTTTGTGTGGAAAGCTTTGATGGAGATCCTCCTATCCTTCGAGCCTCCACCAATTTATCTTTAACGCCACTTGTTGCTTAACTTATCATCCATGATTCTCACCTCGAAAATCAAGCACAAGCAATTAACATACATGATGCATTCTCTCTGAGGAGTTCACTCGTTGACTTAGCAAAAAAAAAAACTATTTTCCCCATCTCACCCCCCATCAATTAACAAAGTTGCCAACAATGGTTTCATTTCATTTGAATCCGGCTACCCTTCATTAAATTAAAAACGTAATCAAATACATTCATGTTAGGATTCTATCAGTTATTACACCACTATATGCATGTACCCACGTATTACATAAAATATAATAGAGAATATTATCCGAAATAAGACTAAAAAGAATTGAAAATTCCAAAATAGGACTGACATATTTTTATTCACAAAATAGGACTAATTACCGCCATGTTTTGGCAGTACCAGACTTCAAACATGGCAGTATTTTTCAAACTTGACAGTAATTACTCCTATTTTGATAATAAAAAACATGTCAGTCCTATTTTGGAATTTTCAAACTGTTTTAGTCTTATTTGGGGAACTTTCCCAATATAATATAATAATAAAATGCACATAGTCACATGGTCTTCTCCTTTGGCAGCTAAACCCACAATCTGGATTACATGTTTTCCTGCTATCATCTTTTACCTTTTAAAAAACTAGAATTTCTCATTTGCATATTCATTACCTAGCCCTCATATGACATCTACTATTCTCTAGTTACTTAATGTTGAACTCTAGCATTAACGCACACATCATCGTTGAGCCTAATCATTATTACTCAGGTAGTTCTTTTATTTTGGTAACTAATACCTCCCCGTGTTGGCACCTAAAATAGTCTATTGTAGGTGCACATGCATGGGGATGGTGACAGCTGCGGGTAGGCGTGCATGCATGAGGACGCCTGCAGCAAGAAAACATGAGGACCGCCACGACAAACATACATGGAGGCGACCGTGGAGATGGGGGAGGCGGGTGCAACTGCCTATTTAGGCGGCGGGAGACTAAACAAATGACTAGTACATGGCTAGGGCTTGAAAAAATGATTAAGAAATTGGAGTTTTATAATAACAATCTAAAGGCATATTATTCCATTAATTTCTTTTTGAACGTCATTAAATTTATTAATTAATTAATGAATATGGGGGTGTTTGGATCTGATTCTTAAAACTACCGATGTTCTTTCAGGGAGCAAAAACACAAGTTGGAGTGCTTGAGTGAAAGTGCAGAAGTGATTCTGAAGCTTTAATTTACTCCTAGAATCAATTTTATAGAAGCTGGGAGAGACCAGTTCCTGAAAATTGATTCTGACGCTTCTGCTTCTGATTTATAAAAGAAGCAGAAGCAGAATCAGTTCCAAACACCCTATTACGGACATAAATATGATTTTGAGAAAAAAATTAATGAGGTTATAGGGTGGGTGGACTATAGGGGAGCCGGGCAAAGACCGTTTGCTCATTTTGGACTTTGAACCGGTCCGATTTTATTTATCCCTTGAAATCGCCGCAGGTTTACTTCACGCGGAACCTTGGAGGTCTGTTTCTCCGATCGCCCAATCGGCGGTGATAAAAAATCTAACCTTTATCAACCCGACGGGATCTTTTCATGGAGCATCAACCTGGAGCTTCGAATCACACCGGCGTAGAAAACGATCAAGAACCGCGGAACCAGCGTCTCTACAACCCTTATCATGACCTCCAAATCCCAATCCAGACATTATACAAGCTTCCCACAGCCCCGGAATTCCTTTTCCAAGAGGAATCCCGCGTGCAGCGTCGATCCTGGGGTGAAAACCTCACCTACTACACCGGCATCGGATATCTCGCCGGCGCCTCATTCGGCGGTGTTAGTGGATTTTATCAGGGCGCCAAAGCCTCCGAGCCAGGAGAGAGCTTGAAGCTCCGGGTCAATAGGGTTCTGAACGGGTCGGGTCACACCGGAAGCAAATTTGGTAACCGGGCAGGTGTGATAGGGCTGCTTTATGCTGGGATGGAGAGTGGCATGGTGGCGGTTAGAGACACGGACGATGTCATCAACAGTGTGGTAGCGGGGCTAGGGACTGGCGCGTTCTACAGAGCGGCCGCCGGGTTGAAGTCGGCAGCTGTGGCCGGAGTTATAGGCGGAGCTGTGGTCGGATTGGGAGTGACTGCGAAGCAGGCTGTGAAAAGATACGTGCCCATATGAGTTTGTTTTCCTATATTTGCTACTTGGATATGCAATATTCATATTCCTTATTGTGTCTTTCTACTATAGTATTTGATGATATGCTTGAGAATTTGGCTCTCTCATATTTGATCGATTGTTATCATTCTTGAAGCTGGGGCACTAAAGGTGCTAACTTTGCTTACATTTTTGTCCAATACATGTTCTAAATTAGATGTACTGAGCAATGTGATCTTGAATAAATTTGAAAACAACAGGCGCCAAGTATTGCCTATATGTGCTCTATTAATTAATACCCTGATGGTATTCAAACTACAAAGGACAGAGCTTGAACTGTTTAACACTTCCACTAATTGCTGTTTCTTTCTAGTTCCCACAAGCAAAATCTGGCCTAGTTAGGATCTCATTTTTTAATTAGGATAGACCAGCATAATAGTTTCATCATACTCAGTATACGCTTTTCAATACAAAATCAACAGCGAGAAATAGTTTTACCGGACTTGGGGCGGGGCATGACCCGGATTGGTCCCCTTGTCTAAGCCCATGTGGCCATGTGCACAATTACATCTCTGAACTTTCATTCCATAAGTGCGCAGCTTTGGCTTATTTCATGCTACCCATGCAGGTGGTGCATGCATGGGCGGAAGGGTGTGATCAAACCGGGATTGAATATGCTCTAAACTCAACTTGAGCTTGACCATGTACTAATTTGCAACAAACCCTGGTCGAAGAAACTTGACTGGTGGTTTATTTTTTTATTTATTCAAACACGCATTAGATCCATTTGACTTACATGCGAAAAGACATACGGAGTATAATCGAAAAATTGGTTAGGCCTGCGAGCTGCTCGTACCGTAAGTATAGAACTTGAATTTGGATTGACTCATTACTTGAGCTCATGCCTCACTAGAAAGAATCCAATTTGGTTTGAATATAATCAATCTACACTGAGTCGGTTTCAGATAGATTAAGAATATGTTGATTTGTTTGCACTCGTACATGGACCTAAAAACCGTCTCACCGCAATTCTGTTAATGTTGACCATATAAGGGCAAAATCGTAAACAATGTCTTTTTTTTCTCATTTTATTTACCAAATGTTCCCTTCCTAGCCTATTGTTTTTCCTGAAAATAAGCCAAACACGCCATCTCCTTCTCCCAGTAGATCTCCCAATTAACCACTCCTTGCTGGCTTGCTGCTTTCTGGCAGTTGTAGTAAAGGGTGAACTCAGAGTTTTTTCCCTTTCCAACACAACACCAATTCTTTTAAATGCAAATTTCTTCTACTGACATTTATGCCTTGTCCAGATAAGGCTAGGTTCTGTTTCCTGTAAGTTACGGGCCGTAACCATAACTGGAAAAAACGGGTACGGCTCTTGATCTGGTTCGTGCTAGGTCTGGTTATGGACCAATACTGTAGCCAATTTTGTGGAAAAAGTTGAAATGGTTAAAAAGCCGGATCTGGTTCGGCCCGGGCCTCTATTAGAGGAATTGGAACTGGTCATCTGGTTCTGGTACCCGTTCCGGTCTAGAACTGAGTTAACGAGCACCCATTTTGGTCTTTTGCCCCTGTTCCGGTTCCTGAACTTGGACTGGCTGACTGGGTACACCCTTAGACAAGGCAGATAAATGGTGTCCTCTTCTAGCTTCAGCACATGCCAACAGTCCGCAGATTCTATCTACTCCCCCCTCCTTTGGGTCTCCTTATCTTGCCTAAATAGTATTTTTTTAGACCTTTTCATTTTGGCGAATCCTAGGAAACATAAAGGATTACATCATTGTATTGTTTGGAACCTGTGAGAGAAAAGCTTATCTTTTGCACTATTCTCTCAATCATACATTGTCTACGGAGATTAAAGAGCATAGGGTTTGCAGAACATCAGAAGTCCAACCAATGGTAGCTGGTTTTCTTTTATTTTCTGTTTTCCTTTGCTGCCTGTCGGCTTTCATCTGCGTTCCCTTGGACAAGTTGGACCCCTGGTACTTTCTTCTTTCATACTCTATTGAGTTCGATTTCTGGAATTTGGATAGAGGAAGCTGGAAACAGATTTGCTACAGAGGTTAGTAATGTCAGGAGTGAGTTGTATCATTGAGTTTTGTTAAGAAGTAGCAGTAGTGAAGGTGATACTTTGGATTTATGCATTAATTTATTATTTATGCATGTTTCTTAGAATAAACCCATCTTAAAATACTCTCTACAAGATAGCTTGGGATGTTTCCCACAAATAAAGGAAGGCAAAGTATCATTTTGTTGAGAGTTGTCATTGGCATGGGGCTGTAAAGACCGAGTCTGTGATTGTGATTGGTGTTTGTTTTAGTTTTAAAATAAAATAAAACTTAAGTGAATTTGATATCTAACTTTGAGATTCGAATCACCCTTTTCATTTCTTACCTTCTCACTCCTGTACTACTCATTAGGACAAAGGATATGTGCAAAATATAAGAGATGCTGGACGGGTTAGTTAGCAACCATTTCACTTATCCAGAAATTAACACTCAATTAGTTAAAGAAGAATCGTCATTTTAATTATCCTTTACAAGCAATTCAACGCATTTTCCCGCTACACTGACAAATTCAATTGGTTCAACGGTCTTATACTCTTATACTAATTAAGCGATTATTATATTTATTTGTGATTAATGGCTTTAACGTCTAGGTGACTTAGGGGCTATTTACGAAGCGATATTGTAAATGAGGGTTTTTATTTTGTGTGTTGAATAAATCATCTGAATTGAGTAAACAAATTAGTACTTCATTCGTTCTTTAATAGTTGCAACATTGAATTTTTTGCATTATTCTCACATCTTAATTTGACCACGATGTTCTACTACAGTAATATATAATCAAATTATTATGTGTAAAATGTTATTAAATTTCTGACTCGCAATGAGAGCAGTTTGATTTCTGCTTTTGCCTTCCGGGTTAAAAAAAAATTAAAAAAATGTTATTAAATTTCTATTAATGTGAATTTATGAAATAATAATTTTTTTATAATGTTTACTAACAAAAAAGATACTTCCGTTCTTAAATAAGTGCAACACTTTCCTTTTTGGGCAGTTTCAAATTAAATGCAACCTTTCTATTTTAGGAAGGAAATACTAAGTAAATTGACCTTTATACCCTTAATTATTTACACTCTTCTGTCTCCACTTATTTTTACTTTCTCCACCCACCGCCTCCCACCAATTTCATCTGCGTACAACCTCTTGGTCTTCAATTTCTATATCTCTTCATTTGCCCACCCCACCAAAATCTACTTTTATCTTCCCGACATCATCGACTTTCATCACCTACTAAGTACTAAGCCATATCTCTATTTCTTTCCCTGTCTTCTTCATCTTTGATTTTTTCCTCCGGTCTGTATTTTAATTGCCGCTAAAATGGAAGATATGGATGTAGATGAAACTGATTCTGCTCCCATTAAGAGAATATGCTTGAGACTTGGTGAGTTGATGCTTGAATTAATTACGAGAGGCCAAGGAATCTGATTCCACTTGGAATTGTTTGTAACTGCCTTCGACGGTCCATTTCAGAGCTTGAAGAGTTACATGTAATTCGATGGACAATTTCTAAAAGGGAAAGTAGGCTGCGAAAATCATCTTACCTATCGTTTCTGAGCACTGACCCTCCTGCTCTTCTTCCTAATTTTTTGTGGACCTCGCAAGTATACTGCATAATCGAGGAGTACAATGGTGCTTACATATTGTTTGCTTTCTTGGCTGTAATGCATCTGTGCACTGTTACAAACTGTAGCACTTATTTGGGCAGTTGTGATATCCGTATAACGAAGGGTAAAAGTGTCAAGTTCAACCTTTTGTCATTGCTTCTTAAACTCCGTGCCCAAGTGCATGTTGCACTTAAAACCGAACAGAGGAAGTATATAATTACAGTCGGGGTTGTGCGTTAGCAAATGTGAAAGAATTTTTTTTCTTCATTTTTTGGGATTCCACCCGGGTTGGGCTTGATGGTTAGGAGGGGTTTGGGGGGTGGGGGGGTTAGGAAAGCAAAAAAGAAAAGAAAAAAATACCCAAACCGGAGGCCCGGCCCGGACCCGGTGGCTACCCAGGCCGGTCCCGGGTCCACCAATCCTGAACCGCCGGCCCGCCCGGGCTTAGGCCCGACCCGGACCCGGCCCGGCCCGGGTCCATCACTAACCCCCATAGACAAAGTCACCCATCATGGAAGCACCACTATTGTGACGTCCGTCCTTCACCAACTCACCAACTCGCCAATACAAGACCACCCTCCACATTGTGACAAATGGCGGATCCAAGAAAAGAAAAAAGATTGGTGTACACAAAAGTTGTACACTTGTATGTCCCCCCCACAGACAAGTGTACAACTTTTATGTATAACTTTCGTGTACACCTACCTTCACTCCCAAGAAAAACAGTTGTTGGGGGCATAGTCATTAAAAATGGGCTTATAAAGAAACATAACATCAATCACACAAAAACTCAATTATGTTATGACAGAATTTATATACTCGGTATGACCTAAGATTTAGTTTTCACACAACTGTACTAAAATATTCCTTTTGTTAGAGTTAGCTATGAGTTATATCTTAAATCCAACAACTTTATATTGATTAATATTATGTTAACACCTAACTACTTATTTATTAAACCATCAATTGAAAACATCTTTTTTATAACATCATTTAAACTATACATTCACAGTAGCCTTTTCACTTAAGTGTACCCAAAGACATGTATATGTGTTATTACTTGTAATGAATATTCTAAAATCAACGTTTAATACGGAGTACTTTATGCTTATACTCCTCTCTTATTTTTATGCAGCTTGCTATTGCTGAAATTTTATTTTATTTCAAATTAAACATCATTAAAATTTCAATGAACCAAATCAACATATATAGATGAAATATTTTACATTATTGCTACTGTTAGACCAAAAGAAATATAATATGAAGTGATAACTACTTATTGTTTGTAATTATGTTTTTTTTGTTCAATGTAATTATGTTACGTTGTTACTATGCATATAAATGGTAACACTAGTTTTATTTTTTTCCAAACTATGAATATGATAAGGAATTCCCGTTCATACAATAAAAAATATGAGTATTTTTTACCGATAGTTATTGTTTAAGATTATTTTAGTTCCATTTAAGTTATTGAATCTTAACAATACACACAGAGTATTTAGGGTCCATATGATAACGATAATATGGAAAAATCATTGGGGGCAAAAGAAAAATCTAACCAATGACAACTACTCAAATTACAAAGAGAAATACTCATTTTTCTATAATTTCATTCTATTGGTAAAAGTTTATTGAGGGCAAGTGCCCCCACTCCTTAGTACATGAATCCGCCCCTGATTGTAACTGCTCGACGCTCACACCTGCATCGCCCCTATCGTGCCTATCCGAATCCTTGCACCACCGCCCCGCCGCAAATCCTACACAACCACTGCCCCACCCCATCCCAACTCCGACACCACCACTGCCCCACCCCAATGACGTACCACTACCCCGATGTTGCCCACATACTCACCATCACCACCCCAACACTGCCCATTGACTAGTTACTACCCCCAAATCCATGTCTATTCTATTGTTGATATCCATGCCCCCTTCCCCCAATCCCACTTGTCACACCACCACCACATGAAATCATAACCACCATACCCCCTCTAACCATAGTAGCCAACTATAAGTCACCTAGTGCCGCCCGATCGATCACCCTAGCCTGTCATAAGCTAGCTTCTTGAGCTATCCAATCTTTCACCTTAGCCAAAGTGTGTGTACCACCGCCTTGAGCCGTCACCTTAGCAACCATTGTATATTTGAAATGGACCCCCACATATACGAGTAGAAGGACAAGAAGAGTATGATGTCACGCCTCAAACCTCCTCGGACATGTCGACAACCGCCATACAACCCAGATAACTCAATTGTGGTCAAGCATACCCGAATTATAGAAACAATCAATCATGAGTACCATTCACACATAGAACATCCATAAATAAACATAACGGAAAACATTCAATCAAACAATAGAAACAATGTATTTGGAAGTCAAGCCACATCGGGCAAACTTTTGCATGCAGGCTCACCAAATATTTTATAAGAAAGTAATGTCCATGAGAACAAGAACGGATGAAGCACGAACCGCGGTTCTCTTCAAGATCCCCCCGAAATGATTAGCGTATGAAGTAAGCTCTAGCTTCTACCTAAAATTGTGAGGCATTTCCTTGAGTCCCTGGAGGGGAGTCGGTACTTTGAAGCTTTTGAAAAATAAAATGATAACCCATACGAGTTATAATCAATGCTTCAATCACACAAGACCCTCAACGTAGGGTGTTACCATATTCTAGGTAATAGCTCATACCCCATTTCAAATCATACATATCATATATACGACAAGTCAAATAGTCAGCCCATGAGCTCACATTTCATTGAATTAATCTTCATTCCATATGACCCACTTATGATGGATTTACTTGGACTGAAATTTTCTAGTTTGGTTTGGTCTGAACTGGTCTGATAAAGTCTGGTTCCTGTGTAATTTTATAACTATCCAAGACTAATCTGGTCTGATCTGGGACTGAAAATAGTCCAAGTAATAAAAACATCCTTAGCCCTCATTACATTCTTGTAATATTATCTATTACATTAATCATAATCTATCCAGTCCACTACTCCACTGTCCACCCTTTAGTCACCTCTATGGCTCTATGGGTACCACAATCGAGGTATGATATTGTGCTCTATCAAATCATATACATATGTCGTCATGACCTGAAGCTATATGTACTTCTCGAATGAACCATCCACCATCGAGATGCGTTTAGTGCTGCTTATGAGCCGAGTACTCCGCTAAATATGTTTCATTATCTTATATATCGATGATTCAATATAGGGTAATCCTTAGAGCATCTCCAATCCTACAATGTGCACGGTGCATATGTGGCATGAAAGAGATAGACGCAAAAGATTGATTTTATGAGATTTCTCTCTCCGTCTTTCCACGGTTTAAGTGTTTTTGGTAAGTTTTTTCTGCAATGTCAACTACAATGTCTACATCTAGACATTGTGCTTGACATTGTGAAGAAAAACTTACCAAAATGATATAAGATCCTTTAAATAAGGAGAGAGATATTTTATTTATTGTTTTTTTGATTGGCTATCTCTCATGCCACATCTGCAACGTTAACATTTTCGCATTGGAGATGCTCTTAGAAAGAATGGCCTATATAATACTAACGGGAAACATAAGGACAAAAATAGGACATCTTTCCCGTTTTTCACATCTGAGATCATTTGCACTGTTCATTTACAATTTTAACCTTCACCTATTATTACGAACATTTTCTTTCGTTCTCCCCCAGTTTCTTCCGTCTTTGTACCTACGGCCATGGTAGCTATGCGTCTTTGCTTCTTTCTGCGATCTCTCTGCGTTTGTGCTTCTTCGTGCGACCTTCCGCCTGTCATCTGCAGCCGCCGCTCACTGTCTTCATTGCGCGCCGCGCCGCCTACTTCGTCGCTCGTCGTCATCCCAACTGCTTTCTCTTTGTACCCCATCAATGGAGACGATTTAAGCAACCGAGAGCAAAGGGGGCGAATCTAAGCGCGGTACTGGATAAGCGAGGACGACTCTGGCTTCCCTGCGACGGCTCGGTTGGAGACGGCTAATTCTAGATCTAAGCCGGCGACTAGAATTTGTTGATTAGGGTCGGGCGGCGGCAGGTTAAGGATAAGTCAATTGGGGCAGGGTTGGGCTGATTGGACTTGGATCTGGAGTGGAGGGTGAGGGCAAGACAGGGTGCGGGCCGCGTAACATGGGTTGAGGCAGGGGAGTTAGACAGTGGATGTGGCGGCGGCAGGCGACGAAGTTACTATAGATTTTTGTGATAAAAATGTAACTGGGCAGTTTGTAACTGTAATTATCATGTCTGATAACTGTAATTAATCGGATCAGGTAATTGATCAAATCGAGTAATTGAAATTAATCGGGTAAGTGTAATTGGTTTGGTCCGTAACTTGTCAATTGAGTAATTGAAATTAGTCGGGTAACTATAACTGGTTTGGTAAGGTAACTGTAACTGAACGAGTTAAGTAAATGTAACTTTGTGACTTTGTGCGAGATGGAGTCACTTTGATCACTAAGATAGTCACTGAGATAGTTCTCACACAATTTTCGTATCCTAATATTTATCTTCAAAAATAATATTCAAATATTAAAATAATAGTATAAACTTATGGTCATTGGTACAGATTGCATTAATAGGGAGTATTAAATTTTTCAAAAAGCATTTGTTGTGATAGCCTGTTAAAGTGCATCGCTAGTCTAGCGGATTGAATTCGTACAGGCTGAAGTCTTAAGAGTAAATTAGTAAAGAATTTGTCCATTAGTCACATATTTGGGAATTAAGAACAAATGTCTTTTTTTTTGTCCATTATCTACTTTTTTTTAGTAATATTCATATCAAAACCCCTAATCCTTATGTGCATTATAGACCGGCCAGGGTTGGGCTTGGGTCAAGCCGAAGTCCGGATCGGGCCCGGGTCAAGCCTTGGGCGGGACTGGGTTTGGGGATTAAAGGCCCGGTACCGGGCCGAGCCCGAGTCGGGTCTTATATACAAAGTACTAGTATACTTTTTAAAATTTTGGTTTTTCTTATTTATTCAACCCCACCCGCCTATCACCCAATCCAAAATTCCCCCGGTTTGGGCCCAAGGCCCGGTCCCAGCCTGCCAGTTCGGGCCAATACCGCAGTGGCGGTCTGAGTCGGGTACCGGGCCAGTCCGACCGGGCCCTGTCCATGTCTATGTGCATACAATCAACTTTGCCCATATATGCTAAGAGGCACGTTAGTTTCTAACATTTCCATAGTGACATCGATGACAGTTGACACAAGCATTTTGCACACCTCGGCTTAGAGGGTTAGACACCACAATGTAATAATGATCATAATAACAACAAAGCAACAAGTTTAGACACCAAAATAGAAAATGTAGAAAGAGCAAGACACATTTCATAATATTCCCAAAAGCAAGAATGACATCCTTTCAAGCAGTTAATGAATTGTACTTTCCTCAATAAACCCTCTCAAAAAGTGCGATAATACAACTATTGCTGTACACGGCCAGCTTCACTTATTGCATGAAACTAAGTTAAGCCTGACGAGGTCTTCACAGTATAAAAGGGATAATTAGCAACTAAATTCTTCGTGAAAAAGAATGTCCCTATATCATCCTGCAAAATCCAAAGGTTTTTGGGGGATTCATGCTTTGGACCCATTATTCGAAATGAAATCAATCATATTCTAGCCTTCCAGGCACAGGGCTTCTAAATAAGCTATAATAAAATCAGGCAAATACATCAACTTTGCATTTTTGAATAAATGTGTTTTCTTTGCGTGAAAAAGAAACGAGCGAAAAACAGTAACTGCCAATTTACAGCAACATAGACTCGGG